AGTGATATATTTTTAGCTCTGCTTGAAGGCTATTTAGCAGGTGGAAATGGCTTTGCTGAGCAGAGCAGAAGGGGGGGGGGAAACAGGGAGGAGAGAGAGAAAGATTGGGGCCCTCCAGACGCTGGAGAAGGAAAAAAAAAAATCTGGTTATTTTAAGTTTGGCACACTGAAAGCTTTGGCTCACTGCAAAGACCCAACTTTGCATCTAAAATGGAAGAAAGAAATATAAACTTTGCGCTGGGGGCCTGCTCTTGATTCTTAAGGCTGCTTTAGGCCCAGCCAGCCACGCTGGGGAAAGAGGAACGGTGTGTGTGTGTGTCCGTCTCTTGCATTCAAGAGTGTCACCAACAATGTTTGTGCAAGCTGGCTTCATCAAAACCAAGCTGTTTTATCTCTCACCAGCAGAAACCTGCTGTGAACAGACAGATGTCACCAGGCTCAGTTTTTTCCCTGTTGTGGGGAGAAACTCCGTCACACATCGAGGGGGCAAATTAGCTTTTCTTCCTCCCCCCCCCAAAAGACTATTAGTTCAGAAAGCGCTGGCAGGACAAGAAGCAACGGATGGAAATGAATCAAGGACAGGTCCAACCTGGAATTAAGGAGAAACTTCCTGGCAGTGAGGACAATTAACCAGTGGAACTGCTTGCCTCCAGAAAGCGTGGGCGCTCCATCACTGGAGGTTTTTAAAAAGAGACTGTCTGAGATGGTCTAGGTTCTGCTGCTTGAGCAGGGGGCTGGACTAGAAGACCTCCAGAGTCCCTTCCAGCTCTGTTAATTCTGTTATACCACGTGGATTCCGCCGCCAGATTTTTTTAAAAGTTGGATTTCAAGGCACTGCGATGAATCTTTGCAGCAAAGGGGGGGGGGAGCTAGAGATCTCCGCCGTGTGCCTGCATGCTGAGTAATCGTGATTATTGCGATATTATTATCGAAGCAAGATCCAGGCTGCCACTTCGGAAGGAAACCTGCCAGGGTAGCGTCTTTTTCGATGAGCACGTTTTTTTAAAAAAAATCAATCAATTAATCAATAAAATTTAGCTTTGGTGAGTTGCAGCTGATGCCTTGAAGAAAAACCTGCTAGCTTTCCAGTTTTTTTGCCGGTACTGACGAACAGGCTCTGCCTTTTACAAAGTCCACTGGGGGGGGGGGGAAGCGATGGTGCTGCAAAAAAAACGCAAATTCGCTGCATTTGAAGGGAAGGGAATGCAAATAAGCAGCGGGAAGCAAGGGTGAAAAGCCAGAGTTAAAAAGGAAGCAAGCTTCTGCCTTTGTTTACAGCGCGAACTTGAAGGCTTCCAGAGAAATACAGAGAAGGGGAAGGGAAACGTCACCAAGCAGTGATACCTCAGACTTGGAGGTAATGCTTCCTCCAAGGGGAAGGGAGGGGGGTCTCTTTTGCAAATCCTAAACCGGGGAGTCTCTAGCTTGTTGCAAATGCTCAGGAATCCAAGGGAGGGCAAAGCTGGATGTCCCCAAACAAGACAAAACAAAACAAAACTTAAAAAATGAATCTAATTTTCCAGCCTGAGAAAAAACAAAAATAAGAATAGTAACATTGGAAGAGAAAAGCAACTGGAGCAAAAGAAGAAAGAGTTCACCGGCACGGAAAAAAAAGAGATTACACCGAAGCGCGCGGGATGCAGGAGCCAAGCATCACCCCGGGACGTTGCTATGGTAACCCTGCAACACCCCGCTTCTTCATCCCTGCTGGACCAAAACCTCGTTTCTAGACTTGGGAAGGGGACTTTTCCTGCAGGGAGGGGGGGGGAACCGCTCTAAGTGGGGGGGGGCTTTGTTCCTCTCCCCCTTCCCCTCCATACCCCATGGCTTACCTTAATCCAGGGGGCGCCCCGTTTGCGCCCAGCCGAGTCGGGGGGAAATCCGGACGCGGCTGGCAACTTCGCATCGCAAAAACTTCCTCGGGGAGGGAGGGGGGAGGAGGGAGGGGGCGGGACTAGGGAAGAGTTCGGCGGCCAATGGCGGGAGGAACGCGGCGCCAGCCGGCCAATGAGAGGCGCGGGGCTGAGAAAAAGGCGGGTCGGTTCTTTGAAGTTGGGGAAAAGTTGGAGAATTAAGGGGGAAAAAAAGAGGGAAGAGCTTGGAGGGGGGTGGGGGACAAAGGGGGGGGGTCGCCCCCCCAGAAACACAGGCCGGGAGCATTGTTTTCAAGGTGGCAGAAAAAAAAAATAATGAATTGAGTTGTGGCTCTCAAGAATGACTAAGCTGGATAGAACTGGAGAGACAGCAACAGCTGAATTTTTTTTCCTTTTTTTTTTTAAAAGATTTCCCTATAAAGCAGTTCTTCCTCAAGTTTCCAGAGTCTCCGCCTCTCACAACTGCTGGGGGGGGGCTGCATAAACTAAGCCCCCCCCCACCAGTAAGATTCGCATCCAGGAAGAAGCTGGGAGGCACAGATGCCAGGGGATTGGCTCCCCTTCCCCCAAAATAAACTACATAAAATAATAAATAAAGGGAGGAAAGGATCCAAATGCTGGGCAGGAGAGAAAGCTTGGTCAAAGATTCCTCCCCCTAGCATTGATGAAGCTACCTAGTTGGGTCATGAAATGTCTGCAAGGAAACCATCCAGCTCAGAGAGCATTAAGTTTTTTCTTCCTTCCTTTTCTCCTTCCTTCTTCCCTTCTCATTCCTCTTCACTCCGCAAACCTCACTCTCTTCTAGCACTGATGATGTTGCCTAGATGGGTTATGAAACGTCTGCAAGAAAACCACCAAGCTCAGAGAGCACCAAGGACCCCTCATTTCAACCGAGCTACAAATATTCTACTTTATCAGTTCTTCCTTCACCAGGTTAACTGACTGCAGTAGGGCTCAGGAGCAGGCAGATGCCCCTGTTGGGTGGAGAGGGTCTCCCAAGACAGGCAGAAGTCTGCAGGGTGAAGCCTGACCTGACATCCAGCATTGGCAAGTTAGAAACGTCAAGAGACCAATTTTGGGTGGAAAAACCCAAAGAAACGGGTGCTTTGCTAGTCAGCAGCCTTCACGCACTCCAAAAACCACATTAGCAAGGTCAGGAATATGGGTTTTGGGGAGGCTTTGCCAAAGGAACGAAAATTAAGCGCATGGATTCAGGCCTGGGTGTCCTTTCCAGCCAGAAAGTCAATTTTCTCCCTCCGTTCTCCGGTTGGATCCAGGAATTTTTCCGTTCTGTTTGGATTTGTCTCATTTCCCCGGCCAGCAGAACGCAAACCCCTGATCTTGAGTCTGGTGCCAGGATGCTTTTTGTCCCTTCTGGCAACTCAACTGCCCTGGCACACAACATCGGTTGCTTGGTGCATTCTCCGGATGGGATGAAAGGCATAAATCTGTCGGAAAGGCGTCAGGGGAGAACAAATGCAGGGACACACGAGCCTTTTCTAAAGAGCCCGGCACACTGTGGTCTCTTTTTTTTTCCGTTTGTTTGTTCTGGACTGAATATCCTGGACCAAAATTTATTTATTGCCTTCCCTCCCTCTCTCTTTTTCTACCCCTCCCTGCGTTGGGATAGAGGATTGAATAACGAGGGCACTTAATTCGGGAGGGGGGGTGTCCTTCAAACTTGGCAACTTTTAAGATTTGCGGACCTCAACGCCCAGAATTTGGCCTTGCCTTTGCTGGCTGGGGAATTCTGGGAGTTGCAGTTCACACGTTTGGAGACCCCCTGAGCCGAGTTTATAGCAAGCCTGCATTTGAGACGGCTGGGTTTGAAGAAGACAAGCTCAGCGGCCCGTAAGGCATTAATCCAACGGGGGGGAGGGGGGGAATTGAGTTGTTTGCAAACTGCCAATTTGTCTCTAGATTCAAGGCTGACAGCTCCGGGTGAACGGTTGAACCTTTTGCTTGGTTACCTCATTATCTCTTTATTTACCCTTTTTTAAAACCCACCTTTGTTTTTATAAATAACTCAAAGCACCAAACGTGACCTAAGAATCCTTCCTCCTTTCCCCACAACTAGCCTGTGAGGACAACTGGATTGAGAATGAGGGACTGGCCCAAAGTCACCCCTTTGGCTTTCGTGGCTAAGGTGGGACTAGAACTCCCCGTCGCCTGGTGATTGGCCCAAAGTCACCCAGCCGGCTTTCATGGATGGCTAAGGCAGGACTAGAACTCAGCGTCTCCTGCTGATTGGCCTAAAATGTCACCCAGACGGCTTCATGCCTAAAGTGGTATTAGAACTCAGCACCTCCTGGTGATTGGCCCAAAGTCACCCAGCTGGCTTTTGTGCCTAACTAGAACTCACTGTCTCCTTTATTCTAACTTGGTGTCCTAACCACTAGACCAGGGGTAGGCAACCTTGGCTCTTTTATGACTCGTGGACTTCAACTCCCAGAATTCCTGAGCCAGCAGGGGGGAAACTCTGGCCCCTTCGTGACTCATGGACTTCAACTCCCAGAATTCCTGAGCCAGCGTTGAAGTCCAGGAGTCATAAAAGAACCAAGGTTGCCTACCCCTGCACTAGACCAAACTGGCTGTTATTATGCCCCATCACAAACATTACATAAGGAAATTTCACCAAGTCTAGCCGATATTTCTGGTCCTTTTCTCTGCTTTGAAGGAGGGGAGTGGGTTTCACAAAACGGGGACCTCAAGACACACCAACGCCTCAGCGGGAAGGCAAACATCTGAAATCTCCCCGCCGCCCGGCTCTCGCTTTTTCCAGACACGTTTAACGGAAGATAGTAAAAAATTCATTTCTGTTTTTAATGTTCGCCACATGAAAACACAAGGGAGGGGTTGTGTATGAAATCCAGCTAGGCCTTGCCTCCCCCCTCCCTTTCTCTTCCCCCCTCCCCAGTTCTCTCCCCATTGAATGTCCAGCAGGATAGAAACAATGATCCAAGTCACATCGGGAACCACTTGACCCAAAAAATCAAACCCGACCAAAAAAAAAAAAAAAAAAAGCAAGAAAAACGGACACAGCGACAAAAAAGTCAAAGTACAGGAAGGCGAACGTAATAATAATAACAATAATAATAAAAAACAGGTCCCAAAAGTTGGTATTTGTGTTTGTGTGTGTGTGTGTTTTAAAGTCCTCTCGTGAGCCAAAGGGCAGCAGTTTGTCCTTTTTAAATTTTTTTTTTTCCTCAAGAAGACAGCAGTCACTCAGAGCTATCCGAAAGATTCCGCTTTGGGCCGGTTCCAGAAATTTTACGCTCAGAAGGCCAAAATCAGGAGCACCCTGACCCTCCTCAGTTGCATTCTGTAGGATTGGGGGGAGCAGTCTCTTTCTGCCAGACGACCCCCCCAAAAAATAAGAGGTATTAATTGCATTTGTTGGAATTTACTGGAAAAAAACAGACGATAGACGGTTGATAACCGCTCCACTTCCGAGTGGACCAGACGGAGGCCAGGCTGAGCTGAAAACTGGAATGGAGGCAGATGAGAGGAATGAAGAGGGAGGGGAGAAGATGGGGAAACACCCCCCCTCTTTTTTTAATCCAGCCAATCTTTCAAGGCAAGCTGGGCTGCTTGGCAGTTTCCAAGGGCAGTCGTGGTCTGGGGCAAGAAAGAGGGACGAACGCAGGACAGACGGGTGAAGATGTAAAATGGGTGGGTGGGCGCCTCTGTGTCCAGCCACTGCAGTCCAACTGTGTGCCCAGCAAGTCCAGGGTCAGGACTGAAGACCCTCCCCAGAGTGAGGTCGTGGGGGGGAGGGATTTCTTAAAAAACAGACAGGCTGCTCTCTCTCTCTCTCCTCTCAGACCCCCCCCCCAGAATTCTCCAGCTCCATTACTGCCCGGCTGGTTCAAGGGACGAGATTCAGTGCCCCCTCCTCAGCCAAGGGTGTTGTATAAACCGGATTCGCCGTCCCTCTTGGCCACCGGGGCAGGTCGAGGACAGCAAGGGAGGGGCAGGGCTCAGCCGTCGTTGGCGGCCACTAGCTGCCCCATGCTCTCCCGGATGTAGACTGACTGGATCTCCTTGGTCTTCAGGCAGCAGTCGCAGGCCCAAACGGCCGAGGCCTCCGTGGTCAGCAGCCCGTAGGCATTCTCCGTCATGCCCGTGCACTCCCGGTGGAACCACTTCTGACACGAAGCCTCGCACAGGATGGCGTCTTGGTCGTCGTTCACTTCGCTACGACAAGCCCCGCAGGGGTAGACCAGGCCGGGCGGGGGCTGGTGCCCGGAGTTGCCAGCTGTCTTGCCGGTAGGAGGTAAGGGGTTGCCTTCCGAGGTGCCGCCGCCGCCGCCGTGACCGGTGCTGTTGGGTGGGAAGGCGGGCTGGGTGCCGTTGACGGCCGCCGGCGAGCCGGTGTGCTGTTCCTGGTTGAAGCTGTTGGGAGGTGGGTGGAGGGGGGGCTTGCCGGCCCCGCTGTCTTCGGCAGAGGGGGGGAAGCCGGGGTCGGGCCCCGGAAAGGGGCTGGGGTTGGGGGGCAGGCTGGAGAGATTGGGGTTGGGGCGCTGCAGAGGGGACTGTCCAAAGAGGTTGGTGGGCTGGCTGAATCGCTGGGCCATGGGCGGCCCCCCTGGAGGGTTGAGGGCTGGCCCGGAGCCCATGTCTCCTCCGCGGGGGGGCTGCCCCATGGTTGGTGACATCATGGGGCCGAAGCCCCCCATGGGACCCTGCATGAGCTGCCCACTGGGGGGGCTGAAGTTCTGTCCCAGCGGCTGCCCAAACGGCTGCCCGGCGAAGCCCATCCCGCCAGGTTGCACGTAGCCGGGATTCTGGGGGGGCATGTTGAATGCTGGGCTCATCTGGTTTGGTCCAAAGGGGGGCGGCTGCCTCCGCATGGGCTGCGGCCCCCCACCATAGCTGGGCGGGACCTGGGGGCCCATCGCCCCTTGCATGCGGAAGTTCCCGAAGGGGCCGGGGTTGCCGAGGAAGGGCGCGGAGGAAGAGCCAACCTTGGGGATGGCAAAGTCATCTTCAAAGGGGTTGGAGGCCACCAGGTGATCCACCATCGGGGTGGGAGGGGGGGCAAACTCCGAGAGGTGGGAATAGGAGGGCCCCTGCAAGAAGAAAAAGCCGAGTAAACAGACCAGCATTCCTTCTCAGTTGGTTATCTGCCAGAGAGGTTGTCTTGCAATCAAAATCTCCAACAGGGGGCGTTGGAGGCCAATATATCTGGAAGGGACCAAGTGTGTTTTATGTGTGTATGTGTGTGTGTGTGTGTGGGGTGGGGGAAAACATACGCGGAAGGTTCAAGCAAACTATAATCAGGATGCCTGATTAAAACTAACTCATGTGGTTCTCATATAGGTAGTCCTCGACTTTCAACCTCAACTGAGACAAGATTTCCAGCTGTACGTTTTACAGTCGTAAGTCGAGACACCCCATGACCAGACTCGACCTCATGACATTTTTTGCGGTGATCATTAAGCAAATCTGCACTTGTCAACAGTTGTAAGTGCAAGCCCATTCTTCTAAATGGCCATTAGAAAAAAAAAAGCATATATAATTACATGGCAAGGCTATGGAAGAACGAACCTAGTCAAGGGATGGACAGCCATTTGTCTGAAATGGTGTAGGGTTTCCTGCCTGAGCAGAGGTTGGACTAGATGACCTCCAAGGTACCTTCCAACTTTATTATTATTATTATTATTAGACTGTCCTGCACCCAGCCCCAAATTATTATTATTATTATTCTTAGGCACCTGAAATACCCCCAGCCCAAAATTACCTGCGTGTTGGACTTGCGACGTTTCTTCTCTGGACTCTTCATTTGAAGACCTGACCAAAGGAAGAAAAAGAGAAAATTAGAATAGAACAGAATTCTTTATTTGTCCAAGTGTCTATGGAGATTCTCAGGTCAGAGTTGTGCTTTTTCAAAAGGCATCAGGACCGTTTTTTTTTCTGTGGATTTGATTAGATGATCACAGGCAGGAATTTGTCTCCCGCACAGAAGCTCTCAGTGTACGTGCAAAGCAACAAAATAATAATAATAATAATAATAATAATAATAGTAGTAGTAGTAGTTGTAATAACAATAATAGTAATACCAATAAGAAGCGGTAATAGAGATGAGAAGGATAATAATTGTGTGTCTATTTTCTTTCTTCATCTGTCTTTCTCCCTTCCCTCTCCTTCCTTTCTCATCTTCTCCGTTTTTTTCTTTCTTCTTTTCACCCACTCTTCTCATCTTCTCTTCTCCTTCCTTCCTTCCCTTCCTCCCTCCCTTTTCTTGCTTTCTCATGTTCTCCTTTCTTTCCTTCTTCTTTTCACCCATTTCTCATCTTCTCTTCTTCCTTCCCTTCCCTTCCTTTCCCTCCCTCCCTCATCTTTCTTTCCTTTTCATCCACTCCTCCTTATTCACTCTTTTCCTTCCTTCCTTCCCCATATAAACATGGGCAAATGTGCTTAGATATAGGACTGTTGTTAGGTGGGTTACAGTGAAAATCTGCCCCACTTGAGCATCTGGATGGTTTTCACTCTTGTGCCAAGTTATAACAGCCAATGTTCGGGTGGGCAATATTAGTCATTGTAACTAAACACACACAGACACACAACTTTTAGAACCATGGAAGGTCCATTTCTCTTGCAGGCCAGCAGCCTACCTCACCGGGTTGTTGTCGCTGCAGGAAAAAAAACTCAGTTTGGGGTGCCACAGTGAAGTCTACCTAGGAGGGTTGGGGTGTTTTGGAGCAGGGGAATAATATGGGGAGAGGGCCTTTTGGAGATTACCCCCTGCAATGAGCAGAGCCAGGCCCGGCTGGGGATGATGGGAGGGGGAGTCCACGCATGGGAAGCCCTGCCAAAGGGGAGGGGGCTTCCTGGCTCCCCCCTCCCATCATCCCTAACGAGCTTTCCCGGTTGAATTTCTACCTGCCAGACCAATAGAGCCCCCCATTTCCCCAGTCAGGCGGGACCCCGTTTCCCAAGCAACGCCGCCTCCTGTCTCCATGACAACCATGCCCCCCCTCCTTCCTTACCTGCCTTGCCCTGCTTGCGGCCTGGGCCTGTGGTGAGGGTCCCCTGCGGCGGGGGTGGCGGAAGTGGCGGAGGCGGCGGAGGCGGACCCGGAGCAGGCGGAGCGAGGCCTACTCCCCCCTCCAGCTTGTCGGGGTGCGGGGCCGCCATAAGAAGCGAACGGGCAGGGAGGGGGAAGGGGCTAGGAGGGACCCTCAGGCCCAGGCCGCGCCATCGCGACGCGCGCCGGAAGGGGAAGCCGATAGAGAGGAGGGGAGGGGAAGAAAGCTGGCCCCGCGGGCAGCGCTTCCGGTGGCGGGCTTCCCGCCCGGCTGTTCTGGGCGTCAAGCCTTCGTTCTCTATGGTCCGGGAGTAAAGGCGCCTTTCGGAAGGCGGACGGAAGGCCCCAGCGGCGTTGGCGTCACTCCCGAGCGCCGTTTTTGTGTCCGATGGTGATGACGTTGCTGAATGGAGGCTCACGGCAGGAGTAAACAAACGCAGATTCGACCATTTTGAGTCTCTTTAGTGGTTTTCTCTTCTCCTTCCTTCCCTTTCCTCCCTCCCTTTCTTTTTTCCTCCTCCCTCCCTTCCTTTCTTTCCTCCTTTTCTTTTTCTTCCGTTTTTTCTTTCCTTCTCTTCCTTTTCCTCTTTTTCCTTCCTTTTTCTTCTTTTTTTCTCTCCAACCATTCTTCCTTTTCTTCTCATCCCTTCATTTTGTCCTTCCCTTTGCTTTTGTCTTTCCCTTTTCTTCTTTTCTTTCTCCTTCTTCTCTTTTCTTCCCTGTGTATTTTCCTTCCTTCCTCATTTATTCCTTGCCTCCTTCTCCTTTCCTTTTGGTCCCTCCTTCCTTCTATTCTCCTCCCCATCCTTCCTCTTTCCTTTCTCTCCTGTTTTCCTTTTCTTTTCTTGCTTCCTTCTCTTTCCCCAAAGAGAAAAAAAGGCATCCAGCAGCGACAAGCTAAAGAAATACCAACCTTTAATAATAACTATTTGATTTCCTTTGGTATAATCGAGAGAAAATCAAACCAATACAAACTCTGTATAAAGGACGTGGAGAGGAGGGGGCTGAGGTGGATTTGGGGGGTCCCGCAGAGTGGCGGGGACAGGCACAATGATAAGAGAGTAAAGCCACACATTGGCTTCTGAGTATAACAATATACATGCAACACCACGTGATCAAACTTATGTACACAAGAACCGGGGGGGGGGGGGAGAGAGACTGGGAAGAAAACCAGCCACAGCGCTGGAAAGACTAAACCCAATCTTTTGTCTTTCCCTTTTCAGTTTTTTTAGGGGGGAAGCTCCAAAACCTTCAGTTTTGGGTTCTCTTTCCATAATTCAGGGAAACCATCCCTCAATCCAGATTGGGGAGGGGGGGTCTCCATTGCTTAGCCTGGGCTTTTGTGGGTGGGGAGAAAAGAAGGGGATAAATTATGGGGAATCCATGATGGATCAGAAAGAGGCGGGTGATCAATGATTGCCTCTTTCTCCATCTTATAGCCCCCTCCCCCCAAAACAGGCAGCGCCGCGACAGACGTTGCAGAGCAAGAGGAATTTTGCATAAAATCTGACCTGAAAAAAGGTTCAAGGCACACAACAGAAGATATATAAAGTGAATGAGCGGGGTCTATGGGCAAGGGAAGAGAGAGGCTTCTCCATCCCAGACCCGAGTGAATTGCCCCTATTTTTCCCTTTTTGTGCTTTAAACGCAATCTCCCAGAAAAGAACCCCCTTGATTTCTTTGGCATCGGCTGCACCCGGCAGAAAACTCAACAAGGCGCTGTGTGGCAAAGACCGTCTCGCTGTTCAGTTAGTGGAGGGGTAAAAAAAAAAAAAAATTGTTCGAGGTGAAATCTGAAAATGACTTCATCCCAGCACTGTCAACACAACTGAGGCTAGACCGCTCTCTTTGAGGACTAGCGTGTTGGCTGGACGGCAACTGTGCAGCGACAAGAAAGAGCCGGGCCATGGCAAGATATAGCGAGGTGGTCTGGGGGGACATGTTGGGTTTTGGTGCTCCTCCAAGTTCCCTTCAAGCCCGGAGGATGCTTTGGCAGAGGAAACAGCCCATTTCTGGAAGCTGTTTTTCCAGGGAGAAAAAAGACACGAAGGAATCCCGGTAGAAGGGCGCTTGTAGTGATGTGACTCCGGTTGTTCTGCTCACGGTCTCCGCTCGACGGGCTGCTGTAGGCACAGCTCGCTGCCGGCCGAGATGATGGGCAACCGATTGTCCATATGGTGGCTAATCAAGTGGCTGACACTTTCAAAGCGGTGGTCCTTCGTCCGGACCTGGGTGGGAAGAGAACAGGAGGGGGAGGGATTGGCCAGAGAAGTACAGCTAGACCGCAGTCAAGCCCAGCGTTTCTGTGGCTAAGCAAGAATCCGGCTTCTCCATTGCAATGGTTGTGTGAAAAATGGTATATAACTCTAAGTGCTATGGCTGTCTTCCTTCCTTCCTTTCCTTCCTTCCCTTTCCCTCCCCTTTGTTACTCCTTCCTTCCTTCCTCTTCCTTTCCTTCCCTTTCGCTCCTTCATTACTGTGTCCGTCTCCTTCCTTCCCTTCCCCTTCATTACTCTCCTTCCTTCCTTCCTTCCTTCCTTCCTTCCTTCCTTCCTTCCTTCCTTCCTTCCTTCCTTCCTTCCTTCCTTTTCCCTCCCCTTCATTACTCTCTCTCCTTCCCTCCTCCCTTTCTTTTCCTTCCTTCCTTCCTTCCTTCCTTCCTTCCTTCCTTCCTTCCTTCCTTCCTCCCTCCCTCCCTCCCTCCCTCCCTCTGGTTAGAATGTAGTATTTCAGGCTAAACTCTGCCGACTGCCAGGGGTTCGATCCTGACCAGCTCAACGTAGACTCAGCCTTCCATCCTTCCAAGGTCAGTAAAACAAGGACCCAGATTGTTGGGGGGCGGGGGGGGCAATAGGCTGACTCTGTAAACCGCTTTAGAGAGGGCTGTAAAGTACTGTGAAGCGGTATAGAGAAGTCCAAAGGCTATTGCTATTAAATGCCACCCTTTCTCCAAGCAGAGGGGGGTCCACCCCCTTGAAAATTCCTTCTTCTCCCCCCCACCCCAAAACCCCACCTACCACTCCTTCCGGGTCGACAAGGAGCAGGTGTTTTGGCTGTCCTCCCTGCAGCCCGGTGAGCACATACTGGCCCGGCGTGGTGGTGCTCTCTCGCACCAGGAAATCCCCGTTGGCTTGCAGCAGCTTCTCCGACTCTTTCCGGCTCATCTGTCCGTGATACCATGGTTCCCGGCGGAGTTGCTCCTCCATGCTCGCTGGCGGGTGGGAGGGAGGAGTGGCGGGCGGCAGCGGTGCCCTCAAGGCGTCCTCAAAAGGCTCTGGGGGAGCAAAAGCCACCGTTAGGCGCCATCGGCAGCCGAGACCGTTTCTTGCCTCTTCTTACGACCCACGACGGAGCCCAAAAGTTCTGCCACTAAGCGAGTCAGCTTTGCCCCATTTCACCACCTGCCTTCCCACAACCCTGAAGGGAACCGCTGCAGTTGGGAAGTTAGCAACACAGGTTGTTAAAGTGAATCCCCGCCAACTTGGCTTGTCAGAAGCGGATCACGTGACCGTGGGACAGGGCCACCATCATAAAACTGAGTCAGTGGCCCAGTGTCTCAATTTGGACCCCGCGGCCAGGGGGATGAATGTTGCAGGGTGGAAAGGGGGGGGGGGAAACGACCTAAGTCATTTTTTTTCAGCGCTGTTCCAACTTGGGACGGTCACTAAATGGACCGTTGTAAGTCCGGGACAACCTGCAGAGGAACTGCGGGATTCCCTCCTCCCTTCTGCTACTCACTCATGTCAAAGAGATCTCTCTGGATGCTGCCGTTGGAGGTCACGCTCTGGAGGCCCGGCTGCAACTTCTCCAAATTTTGCACGTTCACGTAGGAAGGGTCCACCAAGAATTCTGGGCGCCCAGGCGGGCCCCGATCCCTGCCTGAAAGGGGGGGACAGGTGGGATCAGAAAGCGCCCCCCAAAGACACAGCACCAGCTTGTGAAAACTGCCTGTGAGACTGGGGGATTCTGGGAGTTGAAGTCAACACCTCTTTAAGAGTTGCCCTGGTGGATAGGAGAAGGCTATTGACGGCCTCCTTCCTCTGCTTTGATTCCGCTCGCTAGACGTCGAAGTAAAGAGGGCTTTATTGCACTGTATTTATTTATCAAGTTTACTCGCCACCCATCTTAGCTTTCAGGTTTCTATCACAATATCTTAAATCAGTGTCTTAAGCTAGGTGGACTTCAACTCCCAGAATCCCCCAACTAGCCTGCTTTAAGCTAGGTGGACTTCAACTCCCAGAATCCCCCCCCCCCCAGCGTTTAACTTAAAAGGCGCCAACTTCATTGCTGGATCCCCTACCTTGTGCGACCGAATGTGGCTTCTTGGATTTGTAGTCCCCAGCAGCCACTTGTCCGACAGGCTACGGGAAGAAAGGAAGGAGTTTTAGTTGAAGGTTGAAATGAGTATTTCAAGTCCCGTTTTCCCGCACGCCGACATTCCTGCCCTTAATTAATAAATTAAGGAGCCTCTGTGTCTTGCCGGGCATCCAATTTTGGGGAAGAGCACAGAAGGACAGAAGAAGAGAAGAGTGGCTAGAAAGGAGCCCAAGGAAGACTCAAAAGTCTGATGAACCCATTTTACAGAATGGGGAGGAAAAACTGAGGACAAAAAAAAAGCAGAACAAACACGGAGCGTGTGGGGGATTCTCTCAAGATGGAAATGACTGATGTGATGTTCTCCACAATTGTTGGGGGGAGGAGGGGGGAACTTACCAAGGTGGCTCCCAAATTGTTGGGGGTCTGAGCCGCAGCAGCCCCTTCCCGCAAGCGCAGGTCGAGCAGTCCCCCCAAGGGGGGGTCCTTTCCCGGGAAATCGTTGTAGTATTGGTGGTCGGGGGGCGGCTCTTCCTCTTCGTCCCACGCGGAGCCGTCAAATCCGGCCATCCTGGTGAGGACAGAAGCGGACCACAGATCAGGAACACGTGCAGTTAGTCCTCGACTTACGACAAAAAACGGACCCCCCCCAAATTCTGTGGCTAAGTGAGAGACATTCGTCCAGTGGATTTTGCCCTCCAAGACTTTCCTTACCACAGTCGTTAAATGAATCTCTTTGGTTTTTAAGGTTGTTAAGTGAATGTGGCGTTCCCCCCTGTGGATCTGGCTTGCCGGAAAGTGGCCAAAGGGGATCGCGTTACTCCGAGACATGGCGACTGTCGTAAATACGAGTCGGTTGCCGAGCGTCTGAATTTTGAAGAGCAAGGAGAATGCTGCAACGGTCGTGAAGTCTTGAAAAAAACGGTCCTAAGTCCCTTTTTTCAGGGGCGTTGCGACTTTGAATGGGCACTAAACAAACTGTGGTTAAGTCGAGGACTGCCTACACACACACTCACAAAAACACCCCAAGGCTGGCCCTACCTGTCGTGAGGCGTGACGAGCTTAGGTGGGTTTTTAAGGTACTGCTTGAAGCGCAATTCGAACGCCTGTCCAATGGTGCTGATGACGTCTTGGGATAATCCCTCCGGACATTCCAGGATGTGGCAAGCTGCAGAAACGGGCCCAAAGGGAAGGGGTGGCATTGATTGATTGATTGATTATTGATTGTTGATTTCTTGATGGTTGATTAAAAACAAGTGAAAAACACTGGCATGTTTTTAAGAAGAGACTTGTATGAAATGGCATTGGGACTAGGCTAGACGACCTCCAAAGTCCCTTCCAACTGTGTTATTCTGCTTTTTTTCTTTTTTCCTTCCTTCCTTCCTTCTTCCTCCTCCCTTTTCCTTCTTCCCTCCTTCCCTCCCTCCCTCTGGTCCTTCCTTCCTTCTTCCACTCCTCCCTCCCTTCTTCCCTCCCTCCGTTCCTTCCTTCCTTCCCTCCCTCCCTCCCTCCTCCATTACTGGAGGTTTTTAAGAAGAGACTGGACAGCCACCTGTCTGAAATGATATAGTCCCCTACTTGAGCAGGGGGTTGGACTAGAAGACCTTCCAACTCTATTCTGATTATTTGAACCACAAGGCGCTAGGGAGAGAGAGAAAAAAGCCAGCACCCTTTTGTCCCATACTCTCACACTTCCAAGCTGAATCGGGTAGGGACAGAGGAAAAAAAACCAAGATTAAACAGGCTGCAGGAGAAGAACCGAGCATTAAGCCAGGGTTGGAAGATCCAGGTCAAGATGAGGGGATCACCTACCTCTGTGATTGACAGGGTCTTTGGCAACGTAAGCGACGTATTCCGCCGTATCCTGCGAAATGCAAAACAGGCTGGTAACGACCAGATTTGGAGAAAGGGTTAAAATAATAATAATAATAATCATCAACCACATCTGTGCCCCAAGGGACTATTTTTTGGGGGGAGGGCAGGCCTTTTGCAAGAATTTTGGGGAAAATCTCACTATACTCACCGGATCCCCTCCGGAAGCGAATGAAATGGACTGCATATGATGGTTGGCGATGATCTACAAGCCGAAAAAGAGGATAAAATTGATCTTCCCATGTATTTTACCAGGAAAGATAGATCTGGCAGCCTAGAAAAGTAAGTGCCCTCCTAACCATAGCCAAGCACTACGAATTTGTTGGTGATGTCCATTTTGCTCTATGAGTTCATGGTGACCTAACCCTAACCCTATAGAGAATATAGAATAGAATATAGAATAGAATATAGAATATGAATAGAATAGAAAATATAGAATAGAATAGAATGGAATGGAATGGAATAGAATAGAATAGAATATCAGTGTTGCAAGGGACCTTGGAGGTCATCTAGTCCAACCCCCCCCCAGGCAGGAAACCCTACTACACCCTTTCAGACAGATCAGCAGTTCGGTCTCTTCTTCAAAGCTTCCACGCAGCCTCTGGAACTCCAGGGGCATTTTGAAAAAGCCCTTTGGGGTTCACCCAAATCATTTGCCGTGCTCTCTGCTTCTCTGCGGCTGCAGGCTGCCCGTCTCCCACTCGCCGGACACAAACTGAGGCCTGGCTAAGCCCAGCCAGCCGCTTTGACGGAGACGCTGCCCAGAGCCAGGCCGAGTAAGGAAGGGAACCTCACCTGCTTGCAGTCGGACGCCATGAGGTTGAGGCTGCTGGTGGAGATGGTCAAGGTGATGGGCATGGCGGCGAACTTCAGATTGGTCTTGCCCAGGATGGAGTTGAGTGCCCGGCCGCAGGGCTGCCAGAGGGAAACAGAATACCGTCAGTCCTTGACTTAACGACCACGAGGGAGCCCGATGTTTCGGTTGCAAAGCGGGGCAAATTTCTTCAGTGCGTTTGGCTCCCTTTCACGGCTCTCCTGCTTGCCCCGTTTCTTGAGGGAATCTCTGCGGTCGTTAAATGAGTCACACAGGGGGTTGGTCTAGAGGACCTCCCAGGCCTCTTCCAGCTCTTGTTATTCTGTATTCGGAGCAGGAGGCTGGACTAGAAGACCTCCAAGGTCCCTTCCAGCTTTTATTCTGTATTCGGAGCAGGGGGCTGGGCTAGAGGACCTCCAAGGCCCCTTCCAGCTCTTGTTATTCTGTATTCTGAGCAGGGGGCTGGACTAGAAGACCTCTGAGGTCCCTCCCAACTCTGTTTTTCCCAAATTGCTACCTACTTGAGGGTCTCCTAACAGAAACAGGGAAGTTTCTCTCTACTTTACAGTCTTACACCAAATGAAATCAAGGTGGCCAGAACCTGAGTCTCTTTCTCACTCTTCCCAATTGACCAGGGTTTGAATTGCTAGCCCTCCTCCCTCCCTCCCTCCTTTCTCAAACTCATCCTTTTTTGTGTCCGAAAAGCAGGAAAAGTGTTGCCCTTCTCCATCTCTTTAATCCCTTTTCTCAAATTTAAGAAGAGACCCCCCCTGTGTTTTATCTTGTATTGCAAGGAGCTGGCCTCCCCCCCCCCTCGGCTTAGGGAAGCGAGATCTGGGTTGGTCATAAAATCCTGGGGGGAAAAAAAACAACCAGGAAGGAAATGGACTGTATGTGGTGAGGAGCTGAGAGGTCTCTAACCTGCCCCCTCCCCATTTCCCCAGGCTGCCCCTTGGCCGAGAGATACATCAGAGGCCGTCAATCAAAAGTTCAGCATCCGCAGAGCTGATCAATAGATTGGCCAATCTAGCTCCACTAATGGATGCTGAGAAAAAAAGGGAGGGGGCTTATCTCCCCCCCCTTAATTGTGCATTATGCCAGGTTCTATCGATTTCCTAGCTTCACGACCCCCCCCCCACCAAACACACATCCCCAAGCAAAAGAGGCTGGTTTAATTTTTGCATCCCACTAAGCCAAAATTCACAGACTCGGCAACTGACTCGTATTTATGAGTGTCTCCCTGCTCCGAATACGGAATAACAGAGCTGGAAGGGGCCTCGGAGGTCTCCTAGACCAACCCCCTGCTCCAAAGACAGAATAACAGAGCTGGAAGGGGCCTCAGAGGTCCTCTAGCCCAGCCCCCTGCTCAAGTAGGAAACCCTATTCCCATTTCCGACTGTCCAGTCTCTTCTTACCTTCCTCCTGCGCACGGCTCCCTTCGTGCTGGGCACCGCGTCACACACCAGGCCTATCGCCTCCCTGCACGAGAGGAGGAGAGAGGACATTGGAGCGTGTCCGACATACCACGCAATCTTCACAAAACAGCCCAAATCACAGCAATTCCCCAGAGCCGTCCCCGCTTGCAACGGAGCTCCATTGAACACCTTGCGGGGTGTATCCACACACACAGAGAGAGACACAAACCCACAGGTGCTAGAAACAGCGTTTCTCCACCCTGGAAGGCCTGCGGACTTCAACTCCCAGGATTCCCCAGCTCCCAGGGGAGGGAATTCTGGGAGTTGGAAATTCGCACACCTTCCAGGGGATGGAAAAACTCGGATCGGCGGACAACGAAGTCCTGATCTTTGGCGTGAATCAGAAGAGATTTTTTTTGGCCTATAATCTTTGAGCAGAAGAACCACTTTCAATCCTCGCTGGTTTGTGCAGAAAAGTCCCAAAAGGGAGGTGCAAGACCAAGAACTCATGCAGAGAAGCACCCTTATACAAGGGGGGCGGCTTTTTCTCCCCCCCCCCATCCTTCAGAGAGACCCCACCGTATTGTTAGCCAGCTCACCTGGTGACTTGGGTCCTGGTGCCGAAGTCAAGGGCCCGCATGGACTGCATCACTTCCACACAACCCATGTACTGCAGGGACGAGAAGAAGAGAAGAAGAGCAAGAGGTTAATACCGGGATCTTCCAACTTGGCCCTTTTTATGACTCGTGGACTTCAACTCCCAGAATTCCTCAGCCAGGCGTGAACACTGGCTGAGGAATTCTGGGAGCTGAAGTCCACAAGTCTTAAAAGTTGCCAAGTTGGAAGACCCCTGGATTAAAATAAATGCCATGGAAATCAGCGTGTGGCTCTTTTACTTTGTTTTTCTTTATTTATATATTCCAACTTTGTTATTTTTTAACAAATAAATCCAGGTGGCAAACATCTCCAACATCTCCTCCTCCTATTTTCCCCACCACAGCCCTGTGAGGTGGGCCGGGTTGAGAGAGAGTTACTGGGCCAAGATCATCCAGCTGGCTTTCATGTCTAGTGCGGGACTAGAACTCACCGTCTCCTGGGGATTGGCCCCAAATCACACAGCCAGCCAAGGCAGGACTTGAACTCACGTTTCTAGCCTGATGCCCTAGGGCTTCTTGCCTGAGCAGGGGGTTGGACTAGATGACCTCCAAGGTCCCTTCCAACTTTATTATTATGATGATTATTATACTTAACAACCGGGTCACAAACTTAAGAATGGCGGGGATTCGCTGAGGCATGGTGGCGAGAACAGCTGTCAAAACTCACTTAAACAAATGTCTCATTTAGCGACATAAAATTTCGGCGCCTTCGCGGTCATAAATCGATTGCCTGTATCTACGGCGTGGCGGGAAAACCTCCCTTCCGGAGCACGGTTGCAACCCCTCGCCGCCCTTCCCCGCTTGCTTGGCCCACAAAGCGTGCAAACCTCACCCAGGTACCCCCACTTCCTCACTCACCCGGACCAGGTAGGAGACTCCGGAACCCATCACCTTGTCGTCCCGGTGCAGCCAACCCCGGCTGGGCTTGTTCACAAAACTCCCGTGCCGCGTCCACTCCTCGCCGCCCAGCTGGCCGCCTTCCACTCGCATCTTCTTCCCGCAACTCAGTTTGTTCATATCCTGGGGATAGAGACCAACAACGCCTGTTGAGTCCGACGAGGCGGAGGCGGCACCTCCCGGAGAGTCTTCGGGGACCCCCGTCTCTCGGGAAAAGGCCCGGAGGTTCAGCAAGGAAGCCGGGTGGGAGAGTTTCAGGTTAGCCATTTTGGGGAAGAAGGAGCAGAGCGTGGTGGGGCTGGCCTCCGATTCGGGGTCCCCCACAGGCAGCATGGGGCTGAGGGACGATGAGGACAGAGAGCCGGTCAGCAGCGGGGTAGGATCAGGAGAGGGGAACCCCTCGGACACGGGGGTCCTGTCGTCCAGCGAAGGCGGAGATTCGTCCTGCAAGTGGGTGTATTTGCTTTTCGGCAGGAGATCCATTTGGGGGGGGGGAGCTGCAGGCTGGCGGAGAGGAAGAAGAGGAAGAGGAGGCAAACGCGACGGTGATGGGGGTCAAGACCCCCCGAAAGTCCCAACAGATCCCAAGCTGGCGTCTTGTCAAGTCCCTGCTGGCATGCCAAGCACCTGCTTCTCCCCTGTCGCGGACACCAGGGATGCCCCCAAATTGGGGCGCCCCCTGTCCAAATTCAGCAAGCCATCATCTTAACCCAACTGGAACCCGTTATCCATCCCATCCGATGACCGGTAAACCCCACGCAGATCCGGAGAGGAAGATGAGGCGGTTTCTAATCTACAGTCCCTGTAGGGCTGTTTCAGAAACTCCTGTCGCGCCACCTGTGGAACGTCTGCCTGTCTCCAGCCCTGGAGAGGAAGAGGATGAAGTTTCTAGTCCGCGGCTGACGCTACACCCCTGCAGGGCTGTGTTAGACGCTCCTGGGCATTCCCTCAAGCTGCAGCACTGCCTGTTGAACTTCTGCCTGCCTCGGTGGCCTTCCAACACCCGCCAGGTCCTTATTCTCTCTCAGATGCTCAGCTCCAACGCAGGCCTCTCGGACCGGGTCGATATGTTATCTGTGCCGAGGGGAGGGGGCATCAAACGCCTCCAACGCAAAGGAGGGGGTGGCAGCAGGGGGAGGGACGGCTAGCAGCCCACCAGGCTCCCTGTCAAAGCAGGGCAGGTCGGGTGCCCATCAGGGGGTGGCGATGCCGATGGACAATTTGAGGATGGTTGGGGGGGGCTCAGCCTCTGAAAGCCCAGGAGGGGGGGTTCCAGTTGGGGTCCCCTTTGGATGAGTGGGGGAGCAGAGATTGGCGGTGTCCCCCTCTCTCCTTGCTTGCAGTGCCCACTCCGGCTTTGCAAGGGCTGGGATCTGGCTGGAAAAATCCTCTCCCTCTCCCAGGGAAGGCGGGGGGGGGAAGGGGAAGGGCAGAGGCAGAGGCCAAGCCCCCTCCTCTCTCTCCCCCCCCAGGCCTGGTCACTCGCTGCTACCAAGGGGAAGGGCAGGCTGCTGACTCACACCAGCCTAGCCTCGCCTGCTGCAGCCAGGAAGGGGGGCAAGGGATGCGGGCGAGGGGAGGCTAGGAAGGGGATGAGGCCGGAAAGAAGGGGGGGCTAGGCCCAGGTCGCCCAGGCAGGGCCTGGGTCATCTGGGGGGGGGGCAAGCCGGGGAGGGGGGGGTAAGGAGGGAGGGTGGTCTGTGCCAAAAGGGGTTTGCAAAGGCGCCTGCACGAAGAAGACACTAGGCGTCCTATGGGGGTCTTTTGCTCATTCAAGGAATCGCCCATCCCTCAGTTCCCTGCAATCGAGGGAGGGGTGCGACCCCCCCTGCAAGGGAGGCCAGGAAGGAAGGAAGGGGGAGGGAGGGAGGAAGGAAGGAAGGAAGGAGATTGAAGGAAAAGTTAGATGAGAAGGGAGATAGATAGATAGATAGATAGATAGATAGATAGATAGATAGATAGATAGATAGACAGACAGATGATAGAGGGATAGATAGATAGATAGATAGATAGATACATAGATAGATAGATAAGGAAGGAAGAAAGGAAGGAGAGGGAGGGAGGGAGGAAGGAGGTTGAATGAAAAGTTAGATAGATAGATAGATAGATAGATGCTGCAACTCCAGTCACTAAATGCAGAGTTTGTCAGCCGAGGATTACCTGTACAACATTGTGTAATTGCCAGGTGTTGTGCGGCGGCTGCTTGCTGTTGTTATTTCAACCAGCCGTTATTTGCAAAGCAGAGTTATTTGCAAAGCAGAGGCATCGACAGCGTTTCCTGAACAGCCTTGTTGATTAACCACAAGGTCTGCTTTTCGCAAAAGGTGCGGTATAAAAGATAACAACCACATTTCGGGGTGGAGAGGAGGAGGAGGAGGAGGAGAGCAGCCCAAAGCCGTCAGAAAGCCAAAAAGCGGAGCTGAAATCCAGAGCAGGCAGGCAGCCCGGTGCCCCTCCCCAAAACTGCTAAACTCTCCACGGAGGCTTCAAACAGAGGGGCTGAAATGCCTGAGCTCCCCTCTTTCCCCCACCCAGGGCTCCCGGCCAGTGTGCTTTAAGAGGGGTGGACTTCAACTCCCAGAATCCCCCAGCCACAATACTTCTGACTCTGTTATTCAAAGCAGGGGTTGGACTAGAAGACCTCCGAGGTCCCTCCCAACTCTATTATTCTCTAATCTAAGGAGGGGGTTAGACTAGAAGACCCCCCCCCCAGATCCCTCCAGCTCTGTTATTCTGTATTCTTCTGCACCAACTACTTTTGCTGGACAGCCAAGGGTTGCGGGAGACCGAGGCCATTTCCTGGACAGTCCGTGTCCGGCCGTGGGTGGGCAGAGCTGAAGCCCCCCCCCTTGTTTGTTCCTTCCTCTGGGGAGGGACGGTCAGCAAAAACACCCACCTGGGCAAGGCCAAAAGAGGGAAAAATAACAAACCAAGGAGAGGAAGGAGTGGGATGACCGTTTGGCTCCTGGCCTTCCCACCGGATGCTTTGCTTGGCTTTTCTGACCCAGCTGAAGGACCCAGGGAGGGATGGGAAGAGGCAGGAAATCACACACACACACAGGGAGACCCTGCCCGCAGCCCCCCCCCACTTCTGTGGGAGCTGGGGAAGAACAGGGTCCAATGGCTACAAGCGCCTTTATACCCAAAAGTTTGGATTTTGCACCCAGGGATCCAGCCTCAAACTGCAGCATTGGAAAACCGAGAAAAATCACACTTCTCAACCAATGACGGATTTCAACAATCTCCAGAAATAACTAAAACAGATCGATATTTTAGCTGGTCAAATCTAAACCAGCGTTTTCTCAAAGTTGGTGGCTGTAAGAGGGGTGGGCTTCAACTCCCAGAATCCCCCAGCCAGCAGGCTTTAAGATGGGTGGGCTTCAACTCCCAGAATCCCCCAGCCAGCATGCTTTAATCTGGGTGGACTTCAACTCCCAGAATCCCCCAGCCAGCATGCTTGACACCAAAGGTCGGTATAGAGACGCATTATATTTAATATATCTCACTTGAGGAGCCAGTCTATTTCCAGCATCTATTTATTTGCTCTAGGAGCCACAACATCTGTGGCTGTAGGGTGCTAGTCCTCATGAAACCCACCCATCTCCCCCCCACCCCCACTCCCAGTATCTTTGAGCAGTCTTGGCTGCATTGCAGAATAAGCCAAGTCACAAAACAACCAACAGATTCACCGCACAGCAAAAAAATATTTGCCCTGTCCTAGCGGGTGTGACAATTATACAGCAATAGAGCTATATCCGGCTGAATTCCTGGGCGTTCTCGGTTTTTCTATTTCCTCCTGCACAAAGGTCCCTTTTCATAGCCCCGTGGCTGGCAGTCATCCAACAGGTGAAGCTTCCTGCCTTGTACAAAACTGCGACACGTAAAAAATGTTAGTGGCGCGGGGGGGGGGGGCGAGAACCTGTCTGGAGTTCGCCATCAACTGACAGCTGCGTAACTAGCTGCCTTCTGCCTCTTCCGATGGTTTCGTGCTAAGCCGTGGCTTGTTTCGAGGAAATAAACCACAGTTCAGCTGCATTCTCCGAAAAGGCAGAGCTCTTGTAGCTGGGATAGGAAACGAAACAGCCGTCTGCTTAATGCCGTCCCCAACGCTGCTCAGACTCAGCCACCTTTTAAAAAGATGGGGTGGACTTCAACTCCCAGAATCCCCCAAGCTGGGAACAGACGTCCACGCCACGCTCAGATCTATCAGGAAGGCCAAGAAAGAAGGGAAGAACAGCGGAGCCCAGCAACCAGAGCAGGGAGAGAGAAGGGTCCCACCCCTTACCATGTACTCCATCACGGATGCCGGAGGTCTGTTCTTCGCTGGGGGCCAAACCTGCAGTTTGGTGACAAAGAAGGAATTAGGGAGGGGCTGTGCAGCAATTTGGGGAGGGGGGCAATATTGCCTTTTCCCTGTGCATTTCTCTAAATGAGGGCTTCTCAATCTTGGGGACTTGAAGAGGGCTGGACTTCAACTCCCAGAATTCTCCAGCCGCCACCAGGCTTTAAGATGGGTGGACTTCAACTCCCAGAATCCCCCAGCCAGCATGTTCTAAAGAGGATGGACTTCAAGCGCCCAGAATTCCACAGCGAGATGTAGGGACTTTGAGTCCCAGAATTCTCCAGCCGGCAGGCTTTAAAGTGGATGGACGTCAGCTCCCAGAATGCCCTGGTCGCTCCTGCTAGAATAGCTCAGCTCCTTTTTCCAATGGGGCCAAGCAGAGGCGGGCAAGGCCAACGGGGACCGTTGGCTGCCGAGGACCACGGAGCCTCCATGTGCCAAGGCAGTCTATCTGCAAAGAGCAGCCGGGCAAGGCAGGAGCGGTTGGAAGCTTTCGAAAACCTCCGAGATGAAGGGTGGGTTAGGGCTTCTGGGGGCAATTTTGATCTAAGGGAGAGTTTTAGGAGCTCTTACCCTCACCCTAAGCTGATCTGGTCCTGGGTTCAAGGCTGAGGGTGGCACACCAAGATGGGTGATAATGGCATGAGAAAGAGTTAAAGGGAGACTAGTATAGCTGTTTCAAGCTATTTGGCTCTCATCAGCTAGCTATGTATGTATGTATGTATGTATGTATGTATGTATAATTCTCCGATTTCTCTCTCAGATCCTGAACTAAATCCACCAACGTCCCAAAGTCTTCCAAAGCAGCATCTAAATTTTGCTTGTGCAAGAGGGTTCAAAGTCCCCCCCCCCATCCCAGGGAAGACTTCAGCCCTGCCAAAACAAAGCTGGCTTGGGAAGCCTGTTTGCAGAGCCTCCAAAGGCGGGGGCACTCTATCTGACAACTGTCCAAGAAGGACAAATGGATGGTTTCCTCCCAAACAGGAGGAGGAGGGAAAAGTTGATTTTCTACACACCTCTACATTCCTCGCTAGAGAACCTACAATTTTGGGATGGAGACCCAGGGAATAGACCCCACCGCACCCCACTCTTTTTTAGCCACAAATTCTTGACTTGCGAAACCCGCCTGCAAAGGAGCAGAATTGCATTTCCTTAAGCCTGAGAAGATATTTGCTTGGCCAGCCAATAGAAACGTGGCACTTTTCTCTCCCTTCTAAGACTCTCCAGGAATAAGGGGGGGCTCAAGCCAACAGGGACCCTCCCTCATCCGAGGAATTTCAAGGGTCCCATCCTGAGAGTCTCCAGCCCAGAAAGGTGAGGAAGGGGGATCCAGCTTGAGTGACACAAGCCCACTGTCCCTCTGGGCCAATTTCAAAGTGAGACAACCGAGACGCACACGTATGTATGTACACGCATGCCCATTCCCCGGACAGGAGAGAGGGGAAAAAAAATTACAGAGATTTATTTAACTTTTCTGGCCAGCCTTCTCTTTTTTTTTCCCTAAAGGGGGGGGGGAGAAAAGAAACTTAAAAACTGACCTGCCAAAGAGGATGGTGTAATCCTTGCTACTCCCCCTTTTTTCTGGTGGGCCACTCCGGTTTTTTTTTAAAAGCTATGGAATTTGAGAATTGAGATCCCGCCTTCTTTAAGGGGTGGGATGAAGCAGAGTTTGCAGCCTGCCCCAGATGTATTCCAGATGTGGAAGGGCCTGGTCTGGCTCTCGAAAGGGGCAGCTGGAGAGCAAAAAAATATGACAGCGGGACAAACTTTTTTTTTTTTGCACAGAAAGTCACAATGAACTTGGGTTGAGGAAATCAGCCCTGCTGAATCCTGCATGAAGCATCTTGGGTTTGGAAACGAAGCCAGGAAACCTGGCTTACGAGCGGCAAGACTGGCTCCACACCACATAGACCTCCCAAAGTGAAGCAGAGCATGCAAAACATGGTCGCGGTTCACCAAAACTGGAGAAACAGTGTCGCTTTGGATAGGAGACGGGCAAGCATGTCGATTTAATAAAGAAATAACCCTGGCCTCCAATCTTTGCAAGATCAAGCCTTGCAGCAAATCGATTTAGTAAAGAAATAACCCCATCTCCCCAAACTTTGCAATGCCAAGGCTCGCCTAAGAGACAGACACACCTATGCATCGGTCTCTAAACGTTAAAAGTGAATGCAATTCAACGCGATCCCCCCCCACCCCTTTCAAAACTCTCCCGCTATGGAGGCCACCCTCCCCCCCCCCCCAAAAAAACCTCCTAGAGAGGGTTCCAGAGACCATCTTCCACCTCTAACGGGCCCGGCACTTAGAAGCAAGCCGCTGTTTCAGGATTTATGCGAACTTTTGTGCAATACCCTCCGGGCGATGATGGCGAGTTGCGTTCCCGTTTTGCATGCCTCTCCTCCCCCCCTCTCGCTCGCTCGCTCCTTCCTGGTGGATTTTCGCCCCATCCCCGGCGCCCCAAAAGCGGAGCCGGTTCCCCCTTTTCTCCCGCTCTTTTGGGCTCCAGGAAATCGCAGGGAGAGCCCTGCAAGAGCGCTGCCCGTCTGCCCTGCGGAACTCCGGGGTAGAAGGAGCCCTTTAAACAGAGGGCAGCGCCGTGTGCCGACGTCTCTGACGCGGTCTTCCCTCTGGTCCGTCTGGCCCCTTTTTTTCTCTCCCTCTCTATAGTACTCTTCCTTTTTTTTCCATTCTCTCCCATTTCTTTGTCTTTCTTCCTGTCTTTTCTCTCTTAACACTCTCGTCTCTAGATATATATGTGTATGTATATATCGGAATAGTCTTCCCTTTGGCCCGGCAAGACACTTTCTCTCTCTCTCGCCCCCCCATCTCACATTCCTCCCCTGCCCCGTCACCCAGAGAGGAGGAAAGGGGGGAGCCGGGCATTGTCAGTCTCTGAGTAAGAGATTAGTAACAGGCTTCGATTACAAAACAGCGTTGAGACACCTCGGGAATCTTGCAGCAGCGCTTCCTCGGAACACGAGGGGAAGGGGAGGGGACGGTTTTTCGGGGGGGGAACAAAAAAACCAACACCCCACCAGCGCTTTCGACACTCGGGACACATTCTGCTCGGACTCTGAACCTCAAGGCAGACTCTCCTGCAAAGGAGCCCGACACGGGGGGGGGGGGAAGGATCCACAGACACCACTGAATTCTCACGGACCACCAAAGAGCGGAGCCGCCCGCCTCAAACGGCAGTCCGCCTTTTCCGCACGTCCCCAAAGGCGCCTCTCCCCGAGGGAGGAGACTGCGGGGGAGCCCCCGCCTGATCCCTACCCCGCAAGGAAGGGCTATTTAAAAAACAGTGCAGATAAAACGGAACACCGCAGGGCCAAAGAAAGAGCGCCCGGGCTGAGCAACAGCCGCCCTTGCAGGGCTGTTGTGCAGCTCCTTAGAGACCCCACCCAGCTTCCGCGATGTATTGCAAAGTTACGGCGGCGGCCAATTAAATGAACTGCCCGATGCAACGTCGGTAAAAGGCGGAGGGGGGAGCTTGACCCTCTTCTTACCGGGGCGGCCGTAGCATTGGGGGGCAAAGGCGGCGGACTGCGGCTACTCCGACGGCGCCTCTCGGACAAACTCTTGGGCTCTTGAAGCCCTGCCCCGCCCGTTTCCCTCCACCAATCCTTTCCGGGTTCCGTCCCGCCCCTTCTCTTGACAGCCTTTCCTAAACTTCCGGTAGGGCCACTCTTGCCATAGGACTCGCTCCCCACTCCTCCCCGCCCGGCGTCAACTGGGACCCACTGCTCCATTTATTCCCACAGGGTTATTACAGGGCAGGACGGAAAGGACACCACGCGAACGAGGGAGCGAATGAAAGACCACCAGACGACTTCAGTATTGTTTAATACGGGAGTGCAGCGCTGAACAAAGCTCTCATTCACTTCGGTCCTCGAGGGACGCAAGTTCTCTCTTCTTAAAGGCGCAGGGGGGCTCCTCTCACAAGCGACTTCGCCGGGTCTTCCGTCATCAACTCGCTGATTTTCGCCTCAACTTCTTTTCCAGATTCTTCGGACTTCAAACCCTTCACATCACCTACTCTTTTCCAACTCTCCGGCGGGCTGAATGAAAGGTTCGTTTCCCGCTGTCTCCTTTTATATTTTCCCGCCAAAGCAGCTCTCAACCCGATTGGTTAACGCATCCATTAGGCTTATCCTTTCATTGGCTCTTGTATGGCTATTTTATAGGCACCCGCGGTGACTCAGGCCAATCAGCATGCAGGCACACCTGGGGAAGCTCCTCATTGGTTGAAAACGAAGCCGCTCTAATCCTTTACCTGATAGATAGATAGATAGATAGATAGACAGACAGACAGATAGACAGGTAGATAATGATAGATAGATAGATAGATAGATAGATAGATAGATAGATAGATAGATAGATAGATAGATAGATAGATAGATAGATAGGAATAGAGAATTTAAAAAGCAAAAATGAATTTTATAGGTTCAACTATCTATAAAATAATCAGGCTAACTGGAAGAATGGGATATGTAGTCCCCTGACGAGAAAGGGAGGTTGGAGAACGGGAATGATGGGACTTATAGTTTGACATACACAGAACGGAGGGCGAAGTTTGGCAGGGCTGAGGTTATTCCCAGCACAGCCAGTCAGGTTCCGCCACGTCTGTTGGAGCACCCGCCCTCAATCCCTTCCGTCCAATCAGCGTCGAAGGCGGCGCCTTTTGAAAAGCAGCGGTTCAGAGGACTAAGCGAGGGAAAAAAACGAGAGAGGGGCGCGTGCGCAGTGACGGCGGGCTCCTCCCCCTTCCCGTCCTCCTCAAACAGGCGCCGGCGAGCGCGGGGATTCGGACGCCGCCGGGAAACGCCGAGCAGCGCCCTGAGGGAGCGAGCCAGAGGCTGCCGGCCGCCCCGAGATCGCCTTCCCGATCATGACGCACAAGCAGATCTACTATTCGGACAAATACGACGACGAGGAGTTCGAATACCGGTGAGAGGGGGCGGAGCCTGGCCTGACGGGCAGGCGCGGGGAGGCGGGGCCTGGAGGTTTCCGAGGCGACGACACGTGAGGGGGCGGGGCTTAGGGCACGTCGGGGCGGGCTGGAGGCAGCTGGAGTCTGATTTATTATTGTTATTTTTTAATATATATATTTTTGCCTTTTTGTTTCAATTTTTTATTTTTATTCAACCAATTGAAATGCAGAGTCCCCCCCCCCAAAAAAGCAATAATAATAACCACCAAAATATTTAAAAAGTGCGTTAAAAAAAGGAAGATATTGTATTTTTAGGCTTTTTGACAGAAAAAAATAAGGGGAAAAATTCCTAATTTTGTACGCCTCCCGGAAATCTCCTAGAGTTGGGCAGTCGATAAATTTAAACGAATTTAACCTGATTAGATAGTTTATCAAATTTTAATCCTGACTTTTTTTAAAAAAATCCTGACTCTTTATTGCTTTATTGATGGAGGGGAGGGAAAAAAACCACATTTCCTGCTTCAACTTGCCCTTCTCAAAAAAAAAAAGAGAAAAAAACAACAGCCGTCATCTATTTGGCAATGATTTGGACTCCATCTCCCATGGTTCCCAGCCTTTGGCCGAGGCTGATGGGAGTGGAGGCGTGAGAACCCTGACAGCAAGTCAGACTGAGATTGTATGGGATTGGGGAGGGATGATCAAGAATCCAAAGAGGCAGCAGTTAAGAAGTGCTGGACAGGTTTGGTGGGACGACTACAAGTCCCATCACTCTGTTTGCGGGCTTTTCCTTTCGCCCTCTTGGACCCCAGTGGGACTTTGTAGCTGGGGGTCCGATGTTTGCTGACCTCTTGTTCCTTCTCTTTCCCCCCCCCATGCCCCCCATGGCTCTTCTTGCAGGCACGTCATGCTGCCCAAGGACATCGCCAAACTGGTCCCCAAGACCCACCTCATGTCCGAGTCGGAGTGGCGGAACCTGGGGGTCCAGCAGAGCCAGGGCTGGGTCCATTACATGATCCACGAACCAGGTAGGGTAGCAGACGCTGAAAAAACCGATCTGGGGTTTGGGTCTATAGAGGTCTCTGTGCAAAGTTGTCAATTCCGAGTGTCAATTTTGGCGGTCAGTTTCAGGCATCAGGGATCAGCCTGTCCTGAGGTTAAAAAAATCCTTGGCTTTGAAGGCCTTCAGAAAAGAGAGGGCCATTGCATGACTTGAATCATTTGTTAAGGCGCCAGTTTGGTCGAGTGGTTAAAGCACCAGCCTAGAAACCAGGAGACTGGGAGTTATAGTCCCATCTTAGGCATGAAAGCCAGCAGGGTGACTTTGGGCCAGTCACCAGGAGATGGTGAGTTCTAGTCCCGCCTTAGGCGTAAGAGGAAGCTGGGTGACTTTGGGCCAATCAACCAGGAGACGGGGAGTTGTAGTCCTGCCTTAGGCACAAAAGCCATCTGGGTGACTTTGGACCAATCGGCAGGACACAGTGAATTCTAGTCCTGCCTTAGCCATGAAAGCCGATTGGGTGACTTTTGACCAATCACCAGGAGACGGAGAGTTCTAGCACAAATACAAATAAATACAATACAAATACAGTACAAAAAAAATAAAAAATAAGTAAATTATTCCAGGCTTGTCTGTGCCCAGTAGGACGTCATTCTGGATCACTCCGTCATTCAGGATCTGGTTATTTCCTGAATCTTCCCCGCGTAAAAATTGATGAGAGGGATTTTATTACAGAAATGCAAAAAAAAAAAAAAAAACCATTTTTTGTTTTCCTTCTTCAGAGCCACACATTTTGCTCTTCCGGAGACCGCTGCCAAAGAAAATAGAAAAATGACACACGTCTGTCCTCTTCTATGTTTTCGATAGAAGCACCTTTTGGGAGAACAGCTGGTTCTTTTATCTCCATTTTAAAATTCCAAGAAATATTTTAAGATGCCGGTTCAGAAAACGCCACGCGACATAACCAACACTGCAGCCGAGGAAAAAAACGGGTTTTCCCTGCAGTATTTTACCTGGCCAAAGCAATCTTCAAAAACTACAATAGCTTGACTATTTTTAATACTTTTTTTTATAATGGCTGAAAACTTGGTTCGCCCAAGGGGGCCCAAATTGTTGTGTGTTTTTTTAAATCTCTGGTCTTGCAAAACTTCGTTCTGCTGTGTTGTTCTTAAAATGCGCGTTCCCTTTTTAACCTTATTTTTCAACTTCTGCTTTAAGGTTTTAAAATGTTATTCCGGATACGCTTGTTCTTTGGCCTGTATTAATAAAGGGTCACCACGTTTAGGATCAGTTCTGTCCTTGTCTAACCCAAATCAGTCACAGCTTTCTGTGCTGTTTAAACAACTCATGCTTGTAACTCCGACACTGGAATAAGATGGCGGAAAGGGGGAATCCTGTCAAAGATAACTGAAAATTATGAGAAAATAATAAAACTGTTGATGTAACTACACTGAGTTCGAATAACAAGTTGAGTCGCACTGGTACAAAGGTTTAAAGTCCATTCTGGACTTTAAACTTTGACTAAGTTGATATCTATCAATCAATAAATAAACATAGACAATATTTAGTCTTTTGCTTCAATGGACAAATCCAGCAACTTTGTGTAGTTACTTCCATGTTGTAACCCCGATTTATAGTCAGTACATAACCTAATGTACTATTCAAGAAACATTCAAAAAAAATTGCAAAGTTTCTGTTAGCTCGTGTTTACGCTGGCACCCATTTTCCTAAAATATTATTTTAACTGCAGTTTAATTGCCTTGTGTGTTTATTACCTTGCCTGGGGATAGGGATGGTTTTAAAAAGCTGGGTGTGAACGGCTAAAAACATCCTGATTAATAGTTGAGTTTTCTTTGACCAACCAGAAGAGATTTCCCGAGTTGATCCAAATAAAGATTGTTTATATGAGGTTTTGATCTGTTTATTTTTGCTTTTGAAAGCGATCCGTAGGGTGAATGTAAATCACGTTTCCAATCCTCAAATCCAGGGTCGTTTAAATAATGTGTCTTCTTGTGCCATATCCATTATCGGACATTGGCGATTATGTTGGCGGTCCTGTTTTTATCAGCAGCCTCATGAAAAAGTGCTGCTGAGTTTTGTCCGAACCAGTCCCTTAGATTTTGAAGCCAGGGTGTTCTTCTGCCTGGACCTCGTTTGCCTTCAGTCTTTCCCTGGAGGATTAAATGGAGTATGCCATATTTTTCTGGGTGTTGCATCACATGTCGGAAATACTCTAACTTTCGTTTTTTAATTGTTTTGATTTCTCTGGGCTTTCCCAGGCGGCTGATCACCTCCTTATTTCTGATGTTGTCATCCCAGCTTCTACGTAACAGCCGCCTGTAAATCCATATTTCAAATGCTTCTAGTCTCTTCAGGTAGCCTTCTGTCAGAGACCAACTCTCTACTCCATAGAGCAGGACAGGAAAAATATAGCATCTGACAAGCCTGATTTTCAGTCTTAGGCTTATGTCGTGACTGCAGAAGACCTTTTTCATTTTGAAGAATGCTGTTCGGGCTTTTTCTATCTTAGTCTTTACTTCAGTGGTCATGTCCCAGCTTTCATGTAAATTAGAACCGAGGTGCGTGATCCTTTCAACTTTTTCTAGTATTCCTTCTGAATTTATTGGTGGTAAATTAACGGGTTGTTTGCTGACGACCAGGATCTTGGTTTTTGAGGTGTTAAGGTTCAAGCCGTATTTTTCAGATGTTTCTGTGACTGATGAGGAGCTGAAGGTCTTCATGATTCTTGGCAAGCAGAACTGTATCGTCAGCATATTTTAAGTTGTTGATCCAAACACCGTTTACTTTGATGCCAGCATCGATGTTCTCCAGTGCCTCGTTGAAAATTGACTCAAAGTAGATATTGAACCACACTAATGTGTATGTATAATAATATTGTATAGATCATTGTTTAATGTAAATAATATTGTTTAGGTATAGTCTCACGTATGCAGCCCAGGGGAAAAGACCAGCCTTCTTGGCAAATTTAGGATTTTAAAATAGCATAAAAAGAAAGATGGATGGGAAGAGGATTTTTTTTTCTCTCTCTCTTGGATTGGACCCACCAGAAATTTGTCTCTGCAAACTCAGTGTTAAAACAGAAATAACAATTTCCAACATTGCACACAATTCAAGAAGTGGGCGGTTTGGGTCCCTCGGCCAAATGTCACAATGATTTAAACAAAAAAAGGGGAGAGAAAAATAATCCAAAGGGCAACAGCCTTGCAAACAGTATACAAGGAAGTGCCTTGGGGGCATGACGGGAAATGTAGTTTCCCGGCGCCTAGAGCGTCGCTCTCCGCCACGCCGCCCGCGCCTTGTAGCCAATCCGCGCTTCTTCCACTCCTCGCCCCTTTTCCGTTAGGCCAATAGAACGCGAGGCGGGCGGAGCTCCCAGGAAGCAGCAGCCAATAGGCGGGCGGCGGGCGGGGCTCACCAGCAGTTGCTCGAACAAGGCTTGGGTAAGTCGAAAAGGCGAGCAACGGGGGGGGGGTGCGTGGGAATTTCCTGGGTCTTGCTTGAAATGGTATCTCCCACCCTGGAGGCTTTGACAAAGGGGCTCCTGAGCATGGGCAGAGCGCCTCCTTCCCGGGAGCACGTCCGCCGAACATGTGCAGCGTGTCAAAAGAACCGCGGAAGTGAAGGCTTTCTCGCTTTGGGGGTTGCTTAACGCAGCAAACTAATTATAGGGTGAATCCTGGTCTTGAGAAATAGTCCCTGGATGGGTCAATCCTTGCTTGATGACTCAGTGCAGATTTAGTCTGGAAAGGGTGCAATGGGAGGCTGGGTTTAAATTGATTAATTCAATCAATTAAATGGCTGGAAGCCAATCAGTATAATCCCATTTTAATTTTACAGGGCAGAGAGTGCCCGAATCTACGACCCGTTAGATAACTTTGCTGCTTCCCAAGCGAGAAAAATAATCCTCATAATGTAGAAACTTCCTGCCACAAGAAAACAATCTCCCAAAGTTTGTTTTTATAAAGTAATAATAACAATAACAATAATATATAGTAGCAGCAGGGTCCTTGGTGCTCTCTGAGTTAGGTTGTTTTCCTGCAGACGTTTCATAACCCAACTAGGTAACATCACTGCTAGAAAGGATATTTGCAGCAAAAAACAAACAAACACCCATCCCTTCTAGCACTGATGATGTAACCTAGTTGGGTCATGAAACATCTGCAAGAAAACCACCCAGCTCAGTGACTTACCCCTCATTTCAACCCTGAGCTACAAATATTCTCCTTTATTGGAAATAATAATCCTGCAAGACTTAAAAAATAATTAAAGCCTGCAACTGAGAGGTTTGTAACAGACATATTATTTTGGGGGGGGGGGTGTTGTAGGTAACGCAGCTTCAAACCCCCCCCCCTCCAACTACATTTAGAACTGGCAGCTTCCAAGGGCCGACCGTTCCTGCGCTGGGATCGTTGCCTCTGCAGGAACGTTGTGCAAGCCAGAGGGCCCCGGGGGCCTCTGCAAGCGATGGCAACCCAGGTAGATGGGGGAACTTCGAGAAACAGAGGGGGCACCCCCCAACCTGCCCCTGTGACTGCCGGCATCATTGTCATCGGAGATGAGATTTTAAAGGTATGTGAGCCTTCACACATTGGTGTACGCTTTGCAGGGGGCTGGACTAGAAGACCTCCAAGGTCCCTTCCAGCTTCTATTCTATTCTATTCTATTCTATTCTATTCTATTCTATTCTATTCTATTCCTTTCCATTCCATTCCAGGAATAGGAATAGGAATAGGAATAGGAATAGGAATAGGAATAGAATAGAATAGAATAGAATAGAATAGAATAGAATAGAATAGAATAGAATAGAATAGAATAGAATAGAATAGAATATATGGGATGGGATGGTATAGAACAGGAAAAGGAATGGAATGGAATAAGAAGAGAATAGGATAGGAATGGAATAGGAATAGAAATAGGAATAGGAATAGAATAGAATAGAATAGAATAGAATAGAATAGAATAGAATAGAATAGAATAGAATAGAATAGAATATTCTGGAGAATGGATTTAACAGCTGGGCTCTTCTTCGGCTGAAGAGCATCCTTCTAATAAAATCTTTTTTCTTTTCTCGTTTTCAGGGATACACACAAGACACCAATTCTTTTTTCATGTGTCGTAAACTCCGCTCACTGGGGGTGAAGGTGGCCAGGATCTCGGTGGTGCCCGACAAGGTGGAGGCCATCGCCGCCGAGGTTAAGTCATTCGCCAACAGCTTCACTTACGTCTTGACGTCAGGTGGAATCGGCCCCACTCACGACGACGTCACCTTTGAAGCGGTAGCAAAAGCCTTCGGGGAAGAAGTCCGTCCCCACCCAGAGATGGTAGAACTTGTTAAGAAGTTTTTTGGCAAGCAGACCAAGCCGGAAAGCTCAAACATGAAGCTGGCTTGTGTGCCCGAATCGTCTCTCCTCAATTACGGGGTGAACGAGAAGACGGGGCGCACCTTCCCGTATCCGCTGATCAGCGTCCAGAACGTCTACATTTTCCCGGGCATCCCCTCGTTGATGAAACGGGCCTTGGATGGTCTCGGACACCTTTTCCGAAACGAGAAGACCCAGTTTCACACCCGGGAGATCTACGTGAACGTCGAAGAAACTCGGATCGCTTCGGCGCTTAGTGAAGCCAACGCCAAATTCTGGCCTCGCACCAACCTGGGCTCGTATCCCGACTGGGTCAGCAACTACCACCGGGTGAAGCTGATCTTGGACTCGGACTCGGAGGCCGATCTGGACGAGCTGCACGCTTTCCTGATGGAGAAGTTGCCCCAAGGGGTGGTGGTACCCTTGATAGCCGATCCCGTCTCCCGGGCTGCGGCGGATGTCTACGGATTGGCTGAGTCCGGTAGGTACCCCTATCCACCGCACGGATGTATCTTGAATCCGGTAGGTACCCCTCTCCTCCGTATGGATGCATCTTGAGTCATAGGTTGAGGTCTATTTGCGTAGGTCAGCTATCCAGGAGATGTCTTGCCTGGTCAGTTACAATGATTTTGCTTACCGTACCCCAGTGGTTCTCAACCTGTGGGTCGGGACCCCATTTGGGGTCGAACGACCATTTCACGGGGGTCGCCAAACAACGCAGTCCGCCATTTTTTTCCCCCTTTTCCTTAGCTGTGCTACTCCCTTTTATTCTATTGGCTTTTGAAAGCAATAGAATAGACTCTCTTGAATAGAGTCTAATTCTATTGGCTTTCAAAAGCCAATAGGAATTGTCCAGGCTGTCTCTGCCCTGCTGAGCCCGCCAAAAGTCCCCTTCTGCTAACAGTGCTGCACCAGTTGAGTAGTCCTCGACTTACGACCGGTTGAGTAGTCCTCCACGTACGACCGGTTGGGGGGTCGCGGCATTAAAAAAGTTGAGAACCACTGCCATACCCCTTCTTCCTCCCCTGCAGGTTCTCCTCTCGGCCAGAAGGTGGCAGCATCGCTCAGGACCATCGAGGAAAGCTTGGATAACTACAGTCTCTCCAAAATCTGCGCTGGGTTTAACGGAGGGAAGGATTGCACCGCCCTTTTGCACCTTTGCTACGCTGCTGTGCAGAAGTGCGTCATTTTCTCTGCTTTCGATACTTCAGGATCAGAATAGAGCTGGAAGGGGCCTTGGAGGTCTTCTAGTCCACCCCCCTGCTCAAGCAGGAGACCCTATCCCATTTCAGACAAATGGTTGTCCAGTCTCTTCTTAAAAACCTCCAGTGATGAAGCACCCACAACTTCTGGTGGCAGGCTGTTCCACCGGTTAATTGTCCTCCCTGTTAGGAAGTTGCTCCTTAATTCCAGATTGCTTCTCTCGTTGATTAGTTTCCATCCGTTGCTTCTTATCCTACCTTCTGGAAAATAAATGGACCCCCCCCCTCCTCTTTATATTGCTTTATGCTCTTTATACTGCTTTGGCAAGCTCAACCGGTGATACAAAACCAGCCTCCAATATAGTTGTAATTAAACAAAACAAAACAAAAAAAGCCTTTACATTTCGGTACGCTTTAAAAAGAAGACGCTCGTTTCTAGTCCTCATTGTTGACATCAGGCCTCTATTGCCTGTAAAGCTGCAAAGTTCAGTCTTGCTGGAGGTTAATCCAAAGCCAGCAGATTGACTTATGACCATTTGTTCAGTGACTGAAGTCGCAAAGGCACTGAAAAAAGTGACTTAATGACCATCCTTCACACTTAACAACCGTTGCAGCATCCGAAGGGTCACGTTGATCCAAATTCAGAGGCTCAGCAACCGGTTCCTATTTATGATGGTCCCAGGGGTCTTGTAATCCCATTTTGCAATCTTTTAAGCAAAGTGGCTCTCGAAAGAGGCTGTTGCTAATTCTTCCTTTTTTAAAAAATAAAAATAAAATTTTTTTTGCTTCTCCATAGACGATCTCCAGAGAAGCTGGAGCAGCTGCAAGCTCTTTATATCCGCACCGTTCTTCCCTTCCCGGAATTGGAAGAATTTATTCAAGCTACGGCTCAGCGGTAAGGACCAATTCTTCCTTTTCAGGCACCTCTTGATAGCACCTTGAATTTCATTCCCGAAGCCAGCTGGGTAAAAAAAAAATTTGGTACAAAAGTAATTTATGCCGGCCACTTTCTCTCAGCCCCGGGAAGGAGGCAATGGCAAACCTCTTCTGGAAAACAAAATCAGACAGACAGGACCATCCAAGCAGTGTCCAAGAATCAGAAACAGTTCAAATAAATGGTCCATCGGTCCCACCCACCCATCCACGGGCTGGAGAGGGCCAGCCAATTCCCAATACTTGCTTGAATCTCCCCCGTGATTTTTCCCGCAGGTACAACCTGCGCATCTGCGTGGTTCACGGGAACATCAAGGAGGCCCTGGGGATCCTGAAGAGTCAGCAGCCGGATCTGGAGGCCGTTTTGATGGGCACCCGTCGGACGGACCCCTATTCCTGCTCCCTCAAGCCCTTCAGTATGACGGACCCCGAATGGCCACAGTTTATGCGAGTCAGCCCTCTGCTGGTGGGTCCCGCACAGACCTCGTTTGGGGATGCTTTTCCAATCAAATATTTATTGCAGCGAGTCCTCGACTTACGAAACAGGTCCTTTAGTGCCTGAAGTTGCAACGGCATCGAAAAAAAGGAATTTAGGATTGTTTTTCACACTTATGACCGTCCCCACGGTCACATGATCGCTTGGCAACTGAATTGTATTTATGACAGTTGCAGCCTCACCCCCCTCCCCAATGTGAATTTTTCTTGCTAAAACGCGCTTGGGGTGTGGCTTTTGTATAGGTGTCTCCGTGTGTGTCAAATATCTCTTAATTCTCTTTTTTTTTTTTCCCCGCTTGCTTGCTCAGGACTGGACGTACCACGATATATGGCGTTTCCTTCGCAGTCTTTACATCCCCTACTGCATTCTATACGACAAGGGGTAGGTGCAGTAATGTCCCAAATTTTTATATCTTTTATATCACGTGATCCCCTTTTGCAACTTTCTGACCAGCCAATGGGGAAGCTGGATTCATTTAACAACCGTGTCCCTTATTTAACTGCAGCGTTTCCCTTAACAACCGTGGCAAAGGTCGTAAAATGGGGCAAACCCCACTTAGCGACGGCTTCGCTTAGCAACAAAAACTTCTGTGGTCGTAAGCCGAGGACTGCCTGTTTATCACGAAGCTGATTAGCTCCGGATTGATAATGTGTTGTTGTTTTTGTTTGTGTGTTTGTTGTCTTGCTGGCTTCGCATCTCGGCAGTTACACGTCGCTGGGGAGCATGACCAACACGCAAAAAAACCAGGCATTGCGTTACACAGACCCACAAGGCCGGGAGTCCTACCGGCCGGCTTACGAGTTGGAAGATGAAAAAGAAGAACGCCTCTCCCGCCATTGAGGCTCGATCACGCCTGTAAGCCAACAATGCTGGTTTAAATGAGACCCTTCCCACCTCCCACCCCCAAAAAGGAACTTAGAGTTTCAAAGCAGGCTTGTTAGTGTCATAAAATGGAATTCATGGGTGACACAGCCATCCTGGGATTTGTCTAGTCCTGTTGGCATCGGTCAGGCTGATCTTACACGGCAAATATATTGGTTCTCTGACCTTGTCCATTTTTTGTGTTGGAATAAAAAACAGGGTTGTTTTTTTTTCCAATTCTCACCAATGTTCCCCTGTCCTCATTTTACTGTGATTGAAGAAAGTCAAAGGGATGATGATGATGATGATTATTATTATTATTATTATTATTCCTCACACAGTCAGCCAGAAATTTTTGTCTACCTATCAAGTCCTTACCAAGAACCTAGGATAGGCAGATCTGAATAATAATAATAATAATAATAATAATAATAATAATAATAATAATGGAATAATAATAATGGAACCTTGGAGGTCATTTAGTCCAACCCCCTACTTAGGCAGGAACTAGTGCATCAAAATTCACAAAAACAGCAGGTTAAAAAAGACTTATCAAAATATAAAACACCAGCAGAGCAGGGAGTTGTTTTAAAAACACACCACACCAGCGGCAACAAACATAAAAATGGATGTCTGAAAATCAAATTACGTCCCGGTGGTTACTCAACCTACAGCTGATATCTAGGGCCGAAGGGATGATTTGAATTCGTAGCCGGAGCCAGAGAGCTGCACCCAGAGAGCAGCTTTTTTGCTCAATCAACCTTGCCAAGTTTTCAGATGGCTGGACTTCCAACTCCCAGAATTCCCCAGCCCAGCCTGGGGATGGGGTGGAGTGGGGTGGGGTTTCTTTCCCACCACCCGCCGGGAGGAATAGGAGCAGAGCCTCCCCGTCCAAGAGCAGTCTACCTGGGTCAGGCAGCGCAGGCAATCTTAGCGCCCCAGGAGACGGCTGGCTTGGCGGCGGTTGGAAACAGGATGCCGGGCTTCCTTTGAGCTTCTCCGCGGGGGCTGTTTATTCGCCCCCCTCCTTCCCCAGTTTCCCCCCCCCCAAGGCAAAGCCGCTTCCCCATTCCTGACTCCGGCGTCGCGGCTCCTGGGCCCCCACTTTTTTTCTGCAAGCAGTTTCCTGCTTCTCTTGATAAAGATCCTGTCCGCCTCCAGCCGAGCGCAGCCCGACTGGGGCCGGCGCCAGGGGTCACCGAGTGGCCAGCACTCCCCCCTCGGGCTGCTAAGGACCGAGCCAGGCTGGGGAGTCCCTCCCATCTTCCCTCTCCTCCTGCCGCCCCCCCCCCCCAAGAGCCACTTTTCTCAGAGCAAAGCTGGGTGGGTGACGCTCCTTGAATACTCCGGGCGCGCCGTGCGCTTTGGAGAGCTGGGGCGCATTGCGCACAGAGGGGAAGAGCAATTCCCTTTGAGATGCTGGCTTTGGCAATTGGGGGAGAAGGGAGGAGGGCGCTGATTTGGCTGGGAGGGGGGAAGCAAAGGCGAAGCCCCCCCCCTCCTCCGCCTTGCCTTGCTGGCGCCAAGTGCCGCTGGCTGGGTCCTGGGATCCAGAATCGCGCGGCGCCAGCGCAATCTCTCGTATCTCTCTTGGGGAAGTTAGAAGAGGAAGCCGGGAAGATAGCGCGGGTCACAGCCGCGGAGCGGACGCCCTGGCTTCTTAAAGGGACAGCCTTCCTGATCTTTGGCAAGCGACCCCTCCTCCTACCCTTTGGCAGAAGAGACCCCCACTTAGAAGACCCCACGTTTAGGGTAGGAGAAAAGCAAAACCCTGGCAAACTCGGTTGGATTCCTGTCTCCTTGCAGAAAAGGGGAAATTGTGGCAGGTGCTGTCCCAAGGACCTTTTGGTTCTACCTGGGTCAAAACAAAAACGGGGACCTTGAGAACTAGAAACCTGGCTTGGCTGGCAGAACAATTCCTGGGTTCAAAGAGAGCTAGGAAAGATGGAAAGGTTTGGAAACGGTGGCCTTTGCCCACTTATTATCCATTTCTGTAATAAGAAGAGACGGGATGCTTCTTTAGGGCTGCTTAATGGGGGGGTGCGGGCTTTGATTTTTCCCCTTCCTGGGGGGGAGGTCAGAGGGGCAAGTGAGAACAAACCAGGATAAAGAGAAAAAGCTGGCTTGCCATCAGCCCAGAAACGCAGACGCTGCTCGCTTGTCCTTTTCAAGATCAGCCAGATTTCCAAAAGGGGTCAGCAGCTGGAATCCGAAGCCCCCATCCCTGCCCTAAAATTTACCCCAAGGCCTCCAATACTGACTCTGTGCCATTGCACTCAGACAAGCCCTGAATGGCCGCACATAAACACACCGGGCACTGCTAGCTGGATTTGTGTGCCCCAGAGTTCAGGGGGAGGGGGGAGCAAGCTTAAGAGGACCCAGTCCCAGCTTCTTTGTTGGTGCAAATCTAGTCGGGGGCTCCTTCCATCCAGCATATTCAGCCCTGACCTCAGCTCAGTCAAAACACGTCTGGACCTGAACCCAGCACCGGGAGATTGCAACCTCAAAGCTGGGGTGCAAAAGGAAGAAGGCCCCAGCCTTGACCCTCGGCAGGCCCCCTGCTAACCGCCCCACCCCTTCAAACCAAAGAAGTGGGGGGCGGAGGGCGGTTTGGCAAGCCTGGCTAAAGTGGGGAGAGACATGCCCGTTGCTGCTTCTGTTTTGGGGTGCCAAGCCCTGAACCGGCCTCAGATTTTGGTTGCTGTCCCCCAACACTGCCTGAGTAACCAAGATCTCCCCCAGGCAAACCGAGGTTACTCCAGCCCCCTCCCCATTTCCTCTCCCTCCCCCAGGGGCAGGGCCGGGGAAGGAGGAGGAGGAGGAGGAGGAGGGAACATCCAGCAAATAAAAAGATCAGGGCAGGAAACTTCTGGGTCCAGCCCTCCCGTTCTCCAGCCGACGGGCTGCATCCAGCGGAGACCTCAGCCCTCCGCTCTTACGCAGTGAGTTAATCCTTGGGGAGGGGGCGCTCACACCTAGGCAACCCTTTCACTCCGGGGCTCTCAACTTTGCAAAGGGGGGGGGTTAAGATATGGAGGCGAGCTGTACTGGAGGGTGAACTGGGGCATCCCTTCCAGGGACGGGGTTTTGCCTGGACTGTATCCTAAAAACCTGGACCTGGGTGTTTCTGCATTCACACGTATCTGGGGGGGGGGGTGGATAGGTGATGCATCGGTGTCCTGTTCTTCCCAGGTTGTGGGAAAGTGCCCTTGTCCGTCCTGAATTCAGTCTGTCCTCGGGGAGTGCTTGCGCGCGCGCGCGCGCGCGTGTGTGTGTGTGTGTGTGTGTGAGAGAGAGAGAGAGAGAGAGAGAGAGAGAGAGTGAGAGAGAGAGAGAGAGCTCCCTCCTTTGCACTCTTTTGCACAGATTAGTGCCGAAGCCTCTTCTTGTCGTAAGAGAAGGAGTTACTGGTGTTGGTGTGAAATCCCACAATTGTGTTTATTTTTGGCTTTCTTCTCATTTCACCTTTCCTCCTGGACAGAAAAGGCGTCCGGCTTTCCTCCTCTGCTTTCCCCTCTACTTGTGTGAGAACAACAACCCTGCAGGATAGGCTGGGCGGAAAAGGGAGGGAAACTTTAGAGGACATCTAGACCACCCCCCTCTGTTGGGATTCAGAGCTTGCCACCCATAGCCTCAGAACAGAGGCCTCCAGTGCTGTTACTTTAAAACCGAGAGAGGGGAGAGAAATTGGACAGCCATCCAGAAACAAGACGGATCTGAATCCAGGACTTTGTTCCTCACTGTGCCCAGAACTGAAGTTGTGCTTGTATCGGCCTACCTCGCAAGGCTGTTGTTCACTCGGAACAGAGCAGAAGTAAAATAATGGAACAATAAAGTCATCAATGATCAGGTTGGCGTTCCGAGTAAAAATGCGACTCCAAATTTAAAAAAAAAAAAAATTACTCATTACTCTCAACCACCGATCCTGCTAAGAACTGAATATATATTTTTAAAATAAAAGATGAACAAGATGTGAGTTCAGGCACCTTTTTTCTTACAAAAAAGGCACTGAACCAGACCTGCACAATTCCAGCAACCCTTCCTTACACGTTTTAATCTCCAGTCCCCCGATCATCTTAGTTGCTCTTCTTTGCACTTTCCCCCCCCCCCCGCCCCCAAAGTCTCAACATCTTTTTCTGTAACGTGGGGACCAAAACTGGATGCATGATTCCAGGTGTCTGTGGCTTTGCGAAGGCTTTGTAAAGCAGTGAGGAATGTAATCATCATCCTAATGCCTGCCGACCACTTTTAGCAAATAAAATAAAATATCTGATGCCTGGCTATTTATGTTCTCCCTCCCACCTCCAACCCCCCTCCCCCCCAGACTCATGTTCCGGTCTCGAAGAGCCAATTTGGTGCAACAGCTCTGGAGATTGCGCGGCATGACCCCCGGCCTGGATGACAACCACGGGGCCCTGAAGCCTGTGGCTCACGCGCTCTTCAAGAAACTGAAGGACAAGGAACTGGAGCTCCTGCTGCAGGCGGTAGAGAACCAAGGTGCCCGAGAGTCTGGCTGCGTTTGGCTTGAGCCGCGAGGCATCAAGTTGGGCCCGTCGGCATCGCTGCTTCTCTGCCGTCTGTACCGCTGGCCGGACCTCCGCCAGCCGCAGGAGCTGAAACGGCTGTGCTTCTGCAAGAGCACCGGGGGCGAGGGGGGCGCCCACTGCTGCAACCCACACCACCTTAGCCGGCTTGCTGCACCTGGGGGGTATGGGGTGGGGGAGGGAAGGGGAGGGGAGGTGGGGAGGAGAGGCTGGAAAGATGCAGGGAGGAGGTGTCTCACGGGAGGGTGTGCAAGGAAGTGAGTGGGACAGGTGATGTTGCTAAGCCCAAGGTGTGTGAATTGGGCCTAGGACAGAGTCCTTGTTAAGCAAACCTCGTGGGAATTGGGCCCTTGGTGGTTCGATTTTTATTTATTGAGCGTACGGCACCTGTAGAGGTCATGCAATCCCTGATATAGAAATTTAGTTTAGGTAAAGCATCAGCAAATATATCTATATCTACATCTATCTATCTATCTATCTGCTCTATATCTATCTAGCCATCCATCCATCTATCCATCCATCCATCTGCTCTATCTATATCCATCCATCCATATGATCTATCTATCTATCTGCTCTATATCTATCCATCCATCCAAATGCTCTATCTGTCTGTCTGTATGTCTGTCTATCTCTTCTATATCCATCCAACCATCTGCTCTATCTATCTATCTATCTATCTATCTATCTATCTATCTATCTATCTATCTGCTCTATATCTATCCATCCAGATGCTCTATTTATCTGTCTGTCTCCTCTATATCCATCCATCTGCTCTATCTATCTATCTATCTATCTATCTATCTATCTATCTATCTGCTCTATAGCTATCTATCCATCGATCCATCCATATGCTCTATCTATCTATCTATCTATCTATATCAATCCATCCATCCATCTGCTCTATCTATCATCTATATATATCTTATCTGTCATCTCTCCTAATCTGTCTGTCTGTCTGTCTATCTATCTATCTATCTATCTATCTATCTATCTATCTATCTATCTATCTATCTATCCATCCATCCATCCATCTGCTCTATCTATCTATCTATCTCCTCTATATCTATCTATCCATCCATCCATCCATCCATGGGGCCAAAGCTGACAATAACCGTCTCACTTAGCAACAGAAATTGGGGGCTCAGTTGTGGCCACAAGCCGAGGAGCACCTACACTTCAAAGCTTCTCATGGTCTTTCTCCATCTGTCCCTTTCACAGACAGCCCCCCTCCACCCTATTGCAAGATCTCGCCTTTTCCTGCATCTCTGAAGGGCACCAGCATTTTAGAAAACAACTGCAGAGGATGGCAAGGTAGGTAGGATGGAAGGGGAGGTGTTTGTGCTGTGTTTGTGTGTGTGCGCCATGGGGTTGTTTAAGTTGCAGCTAACACGCAATGGGTGCTGGGGTGATTGGCCTCAGCGTTTACCCAGATCAACAGATGCAATTAATTGAAACTTTTCCCACATGCTGGGGTCCCTCATTTTGGTCACCAGGTTACAAAAAAGACGTTCAGATTCTGGAAAGAGTGCAGAGAAGAACAACCAAGAGGATCAGGGGACTGGAAGCTAAAAATACGAAGAAGAACAGTTGCAGGAATTGGGGATGTCTAGTCTGGTCTAGTTTAATGAAAAGAAGGAGCAGTGGGGGGGGGCACGATAGTAATGTTTCAATATATTTGTGGGGCTGCCCCAAAGAAAAGTGGGGGCAACTCTCCTCCAAAGCCCCTGAAGGCAGGACAAGAAGCAACGGGTGGAAACTAGTCAAGGAGAGAAGCAACAAGGAGAAACTTCCTGACAGTGAGAACAATTAACCAGTGGAACCACCTGCCTCCAGAAGCGGTGAATGCTCCAACACTGGAAGTCTTTAAGAAGACACCCAGCCATTTGTCTGAAAGGGTGTAGGGTTTCCTGCCTGAGCAGGGGGTTGGACTAGATGACCTCCAAGGTCTCTTCCAACTTTGTTATTCTCTTATTCTGTTATTCTTCCTTCCTTCCCTTCCCTCCCTTCCTCCCTCATCACTGGAGGTTACAAGGTCCTTCTTGAGCGGGGGGGGGGTGGATTAGAAGACCCCCAAGATCCCTTCCAACTCTGTTATTCCGTTATTTCAACAGGCCATTAGATGGCACCCCCCCCCCCAAATTTTTTGCCGAATTTTATTTTGGTCATTTCCAAAGGCACACCTTCCTCTTCCCCCCACCCCACCAGGGAAAAATGCATCCTTCAGAGAGGTAAACCAGGGGGACACAGAGAGAGAGAGGAAGGAAAAAAAAATAGAGCAAAGGTTTGTTTGTCTGGGCGTGCCACGTTTTGTGGATTGTCCCGGAGAGGGAAAGGAACCAGGAAGCCCACGTTGGAGGCAGCGTTCCTCATTCTTCTCAGACAGACGGACGGTGTGTTTATTTCTAGCAAGAGGAAGTGGCCGCCAGAGAGAGCGAGACGCTCACAATCTCTTTGACGTACAAAGCAGGGTTGACCGTTGGCATCCGGCCACCCAGTCACTTCCAAGCCGCCTGGGCGCCCGGTCTGTTTCCCTCTTCTTCCAGCCGAAGACAGGGTGCCCCCAAAAGGTCCCACGCCTACGTGCTGCCCTGAAGCTCCGCCGCCGGTCTTGAGACCGTCTCTCCCCAGGGACGGTCACTATTGCGTCCAGTTTGGGTCGCCACGATATTTAAAAAAAGATGTTGAGACTCTGGAAAGGATGCAGAGAAGAGCAACGGAGATGTTCAGGGGACTGGAGGCTAAAACGCACGAAGAACGGTTGCAGGAATTGGGGATGTCTCGTTTAATGAAGAGAAGGACCGGGGGAGGGGGGACATGATAGCAGTCTTCCAATATTTGAGGGGCTGCTCCAAAGAAGAGGGGGAGGGGGTGTCCACCTCTTCTCCAAGGCACCTGAAGGCAGGACAAGAAGCGATGGATGGAAACTAATCAAGGAGAGAAGCAACCTGGAACTAAGGAGAAACTTCCTGACAGTGAGGACAATTAACCTGTGGAAAGGGTTGCCTGCAGAAGTTGTGGGTGCTCCATCACAACTTTGAACGGTGACTAAATGAACTGTTGTAAATTGAGGACTACATGTATTGTCCATATATGATAGATGGATAGATAGATAGATAGATAGATAGATAGATAGATAGATAGGAAAGAGATGATAGATAAGAAAGAGATAAGATAGATAAGAAAGATAGATTAGATAAGAAAGATTAGATTAAATAGATAGATAAGATAGATGATAAGAAAGATAGATAAATAGATAGAAAAGAGATAGATTAGATAAGAAAGATAGATAGATAAGAAAGATTAGATTAAATATAGATAAGATAGATGATAAAGAAAGAAAGATAGATAGATATGATAGATAGATAGATAGATAGATAGATAGATAGATAGATAGATAGATAGATAGAGTGAAAAATGGTCCTAAGCCACTTTTTTCAATGTAACTTCAAACAGTCACGAAACAAGCGCTGGCTAAGTCCAAGACCGGCTCTAAACACGCTTGTCTCCTTCTCTCCCGCAGACACCACCCTCTCCCGCTGCTCCCTGAAAGACGGCTACTGGTGCAAACTGGCCTACTGGGAGTACCGTCTCCGGGTGGGGAGGCTCTACCCCGTCCACGAAGATCACGTCTGCGTTTTCTCCAGCCTGCTCCAGGGCAATGGGCTCTGCCTGGGCCAGCTGGCATCTCGAAGCCGCAGCCAGGCTGTCCGCAGGACCCAGGCTAAGATCGGCCGTGGTTTGTTACTCAGCCAGGAGGCCAGCGGGGTCTGGGCTTACAATCGCAGCGAGCACCCCCTCTTTGTCTCTTCCCCCACTCTGGGGCCCGTGGGCAGCTCGACCCCTCCGGTGCACAAAATCCTCCCCGGTTACTCCGTCAAGGTGTTCGATTACGAGCGGGCCATGCACCTGGCCGCCAGGCGCCCAGCCGCCGGCGAGGGTCCCCATGATGAGCACACGGTCCGGATCAGCTTTGCGAAAGGTTGGGGTCCCACTTACACCCGCCGGTTCATTACATCTTGTCCGTGTTGGCTGGAAGTGCTGCTGAACGCCCCGAGTTGAAGCAGCTGGGAAAGAGTTTCAACCAAAACAAACAAAACAACCAAAACGAAACACAGAACGGGTTGTGGGAACGCACCATGCCCAAATTCATATTTTGGAATAGAGTAGAGCTGGAAGGGACCTTGGAGGTCTTCCAGTCCAGCCCCCTGCTCCAGCAGGAGACCCTATCCCATTCCAGACCACTGGCTGTCCAATCGCTTCTTAAAAACCTCCAGGGGTGGAGCACCCACAACTTCTAGTGGCAAGCCTTTCCACTGGTTAATTGTCCTCCCTGTTAGGAAGTTTCTCCTTAGTTCCATCTTGCTTCTCTCCTGGATGAGTTTCCATCTGTTGCTTCTTGTTCTTTTGCTGGAGAAGTCTTAAAGTTTTCAGGGGATCCTCGCATCCCTTTTTCTGAATTTACCTATTGCTTTTGCCACCTAAATACAGGCAGTCCTCAACTTAACGACCAGAATTTCCCTTGCTAATCAAGGCAGGTTATTAAATGAGTCGTGCCTAGTTTTGTTTTTGCTACAGTGGTTCACTGCAACACACACACACAAACACAGCTGGGAAGCTCACAAGCGGTGACCACGTGACTCTGCCACTCTGTGACCGTCATAAATACATGCCAATTTTGACCCTGGGGGGGGGGAATGCTGAGATGGTCGTAAGTGCAAGAACCCTAAGTCCTTTTTAAAAGCACTGTTCTACTTTCAAACGGTCGCTAAACGAAACAAGTCGTAAGTCAAGGGCTGCTTGTACCCTCGGGAAAATAGCCCCCAGCAGGCGAAAAAAAGATGCACTTACAAAGCAGGAGAGCCCACTTTTTTTTTTAATTTTGGGGGGAGCAAGAAGTCTCTGCCAAATTATAACGCAAGGATGGAGCAGAGCAGGCATCTCCAACCTTGGCAACTTTTAAGATTTGTGCACTTCAACTCCCAGAATCCCGCAGCCAGGAGGAATTCTGGGAATTGAAGTCCACAAGTCTTAAAGTTGCAAGGTTGCAGACCCCTCAAGGGGAAAGCTCTCTTGACTCCTTTACTGTCTGTTTTTTCCCATCCGTTCTTTTTCTTTCTTTCTGTTCCGTTTTCTCCTACTCTACCATCCGGCGTTCCTAAGCTTCGCGGTCCCAGCAAGTGCCTTAATTTTAGAGTCAGCCCGTTCTTCTTCCTCTTTTCCTCTTCTTCTTCTCCTCCTTCTCCTCCTTCTCCTTCTCCTCCTTCTTCTTCTTCTTTCTGGAGTTGAATGTTGAAAATGGAAAGGGGGTGGGGAAAAAAAGCAGATGAATGACGTTAGGAAAGGTGAGATAGATTGGAAAGTGGTCAGAATTGGTTGCAAAAAGGTTGGGGGAATAATAATAACGTTCAGGTTGTGGATGAAGAGAGCGTAAGTTGCTTTGTGGTTTGAGAAATGTTCGGAGTTCGGATTGTGATCAAGATGCGGGGGGGGGGGAAGGAACTGGACTGTTACATTTTTTTTCCCTTTTGGCATTCTCTCTGAGATTAAATCGCTTTAAAAAAAAAGTAAATAACCGAACGATTTTTGTGGTTATTGTGAAAGAAAAACAGAGTAAAATCAGTGTTGTTGTTTTTTTACTCAAAATCTTAAATGCAAATGCATGGATACAAACGTCTATTCACATAAATGTTAAATATTCTTACCCAGGAATCTATTCCATCGTTTTACAATTATCCCGTGCTCTTGAACATGTACAAGAGCGATAACCGATTGGATTTTTCCTCTTGGCTATTTGCCTGAATCAGTTTCCCACTTTGCAAGTTTGTAAGGCGAAAAACCTGAGGAATTTTTAAGGGGCAGGCTCCTGAGTATATGCAAAGGGCAATTCTTCTCCTCTATAGTGCAAACGGTGTTCCAGATTCCAAATGCATTGCATTTGAGGGCTTAAGGGGGGGAGAGGTCAAGGATCAGCAGAGGCTAAATCCCTTTGGCCAATATAAATAGACATTTAAATACTAGACAAATAAATATGTTTGTTCAACAAAAGCTGGCGTTTGCAGGCCTGCCAGCAGAGGGCGCTCGCTGTATTGTGCTGCTAATAAAACTTCAGTTATTTCTGGTTTAAGGTTGAGTTCATTTGTCCATCAATCCCTTTTTTGCTTTTCATAAGGGTTACTTGGCAGGCAGATACCCAACAGGTTATGCTTCCCCCCCCCCCCACACACACCTACAGGAACAGCTGGGGAATTGAATGAATTTATCTGCAAATTTTCCTGCATTCAATAAATCAGTTCAAACTTTCCTGCAATCCGACCTGCATTCAATCAAACTGAAATATCCAGTCCTGGGAATAGGATAGTTTTGTAACACGGGTTAAATTACTTGTGCGAATTGTGTTGCTTCCTTCTGGTTGGGGTGGGGAGGTTGTGTTTAACCGGTTGCGCAAATCCACCCGTTGCCCCTTGTCAACCCCTTTTACGCCCATCAAATTGCACATCCCTGTTGTGTAGACCCAACCGGGAGCGGTTTATGAAACCAGCCACGGTTAACAACAAACCATGGATTCCTGCAACGTAACCACCATTTGTAGTCGCATCAATGCCAGGCCTGGCCACAAGCTGTTTTGCAGGCAGCCCCCGACGTACGACAGTTGTGCCCCAAATTTCTGATACTAAGCAATACAGCTGTTAAGTGACTTTTGCCCCATTTTACAACCTCTCTTGCCACCGTTATGTGAATCAGTGCAGTTAAGTAATTTAAATACGGCCGTTAAGTGAATCCATTGACTTTGCTTCTCAGAAGGTCACAAAAGGCGGGCGGGGGAAATCGCGTGACCCCAGGACACTGCAGCCGTCATAAATCTGAGTCAGTTGCCCAGCGTCCGGATTTTGAACAGGGATCCCTGGGGGACGCTGCAACAATTGTTCCGGGTGCAAGTGGCTTTTTTCAGGGCTGTCGTAACTTCAAACAGTCACTGGGACTGTTGCAAGTCGAGGTCCAGCTGCAACTGGCAGATGGTTCTCCTGGCTCTCCTTGTGGCCTCCCGTCCCACGGAAGCCCGATGTTGCCAACTGGATGCAGCAATCAGCCAGGCCAATCGTGTGAATCTGCCTGCAGCTGGGATCTAGCTAGCCCAAACCCTGCAGGATTTCAGGTGGGGCTGTGGTGAGAGAGGGAGAGAGGGAGAGAGAGGAAAAACACACCACCCCAAAGCTTTCATCTGGGGTCTGTGATTGACAACTCGGGCACCGCCTTCTGCCTACCTGCGGCTTCCCGTGTCTGTCAACTCAGCCCATCTCAGCTGCAACATTCAGCCCGGGGGTCGGGTTCCTGTTGTGTCAACCACTTCAGAGCCGGTGGGGAAGGAAGGGGGGCACAGGCTCACCACACGCCACCCCCAAAACCGCCCTCCGCCTCCAGATCCCCACAGCCTCGCAACCCAGCCCTCGGTTTCCCATCCTTTTTTGCCAAAGCGAGTGGTTTCGTGCCCACTCCTAACCCTCGGCTTTTGTTCTCGGCTGAGATTGCAGCCCTTGGCAGGATTCGCATTCGGTTTTCCCCCGGCTTGTGACGACACGCCGCCAGTGGCCGAAGATGGGCTAGCTGGTTTGAGTTGTGCAAGGGCAGCACAGCTGCCATTCTGGATATTATTATTTTATATTTTATTTTATTATTTTTGTATTATTTTATTTTAGTATTTTTTCTATTATTTTATTTTCTTATTTTTGTATTATTTTATTTTTATTTGTATTATTTTATTTTATTATTTTTTCTATTATTTTGTTTTATTTATTTTTATTTTATTATATTATACTATATTTATTTTATTACTTTATTTTATTACTTTATTTTTTGTATTATTTTATTTTTTGTATTATTTTATTTTATTATTTTATTTTGTTTTTATTTTATTTTGTTATTTTATATTTTGTTTTATTTATTTTATTACTTGATTTTTTGTATTATTTTATTTTATTTTATTTTATTATCCCCTGCCCCTGGTAAGGTAGGCTTCGAAATGACACTCTGCTACGTTTGAATCAGCTCATGAGGACTAGAAGCTTGCTTCCTTTTGGGGAGGAAGCTGGCCTTCTCCAGGAGGGCAACACCTGGCTGGGAGGAGGAAGAGCATGGGCTTGACAATGTAAGCAAGTCCAGGTTCCTAATTTTAAGGCTTTCTTAAATCTCTAAATTCCACCTGCCTGGGGTACAAAATCAGCCCCAGAAACCACCCTTATTTTTTGCTATGACAGTGCTTTTATCTGGGAAGTGTGTGCATGGGGGGGGGGATTATTAGCCAAGACTCCTTGTGTCTCTGGAACTCCCTGCCTCAGGAAGAAGGAAGTCTCAATCTTTGTTTGTTTGTAAACAGGCTGTGCGGAGAGCATTCTCCGTGTTTTTAATAAGGTGGTGTATTTTTTTTTTTTTAAAATCCTGCTTCCATTGGGGAGCTCCAAGTTTTTAATTTTTCTACTTGGGTCCCGTCTTCATGTTGGCCCTTGCTTGGGATGGCGGGGGGGGGGGGGAGGAGGAATTTAAAAACAATCATGAAATAAGAGAATGGTAATATTCACATTCACACCCCACATAAACACAGACCTAAATGGTTGTGGGTGTGAACCCTTGGGATGTGAAAGAGGAACATAAGGTCAGTTTGCAGAAGGAAAATCTCTCTATCTATCTATCTATCTATCTATCTATCTATCTATCTATCTATCTATCTATCTATCTATCATATAGATAGATAGATAGATAGATAGATAGATAGATAGATAGATAGATAGATAGATCATCTATCTCGTCTATCTATCTATCCATCTATCCATCTATATCATCTATCATCTATATATAAATCTTAGCTATCATCTATCTCTCCTAATTTGTCTGTCTGTCTGTCTATCTATCTATATCATCTATCATCTACATATATATATCATCTATCTTTCTATCTTTGTCTATATTAATCTCTATCTCTGTTCTATCATATATCTCTTTTTCTCTCTTTTAATCTGTCTGTTCTATCATCTATCTCTCCTAATCTACTTTTCCCTATATATATATATCAATCTGTCTGTTCCATCCCTCCCTCCCTCTCTCTCTCTCTCTCTCTCTCTCTCTCTCTCTCTCTCTCTCTCTCTCTCCCTACCTACCTCCCTCCCTACCTATGCATCTATCTATCTATCCATAAGTAGCCGTAACTCAAGGGCTCCATGTAAAGGCAAGAGAAGAGGACTTGTGGAAGGGAGCAGGGCACAAGTCTGGCGTCCTGATGCCATCCGGGTGG